TGGGAAACCCTCACAGGGCTCACTGCTGGTGTTGACACAATTGGGTAGAGAACTGACTTGATGGACAAAAGTGGATGTGGGAGGCCAGAGAGGAGGCAGTTGCAGTTATCTAGGCAAATGGAGGTGTTTTGTTTAGGGGTTGCTGATAGTGAGGGGAAGGAATGGGCAGAATTGAAGCATGCTTAGTAGATAACATGGATGGACTTGGGAATGGACATGGCATGCGAAGGAGCCTGCTGTGTGAGAGAATGACACGTGCCGTTGACTGTGTGGCAGGGCAAATGGTGGTGCCTTTCATCACACTGGGGATGCAGGAAGAGGCCCTCAGCTGGCTCTCTGGAGAGAGGGTGGCAGAGGGTGTTTGAGCAGAGAGAGTTTGGTTTTGAGTGTGTTGAGTTTGACGTGGGGATGGGGGTGTGTGAACTAAACCTGAAGTCTCTCTGGGGCTTGTGTCTGTCTCTCGGCTCTCTGTCGTGGGTCCTCTCTGGGGACTCTCACGTGCTCCACCTGTAAGCCAGCTCGTATTTCCTTGCCCACTCACCTCAGTACAACAGGTTTTGAGGGACACTGGAGTCCAGCCCTGTCCGAGGCACTTTTTGTGCATTGTGACATGAAGCCATTCATGAATAGTTCCAGAATTATTCCAAATACAAGGTGATGAGGCACAGAGGGTAATCAGCGTCCAGGGAAGGGAGAGATGAATAAGGCCTGGGGACTTTGGTATTCTTGGGCTTTTGGCAGCCATGAGGCCAATCCTGTTGCAAGTTCTAACCTCAGCGATGGTCTTTCTGAACTGTAATCACTTTCTAAGTCCAAAGAGAAAGATGTGACTGAGAAGTGAAACATTTCAAGGGTAGGTAATACACAGTTTTGATAACTTTGGAGATCACAAAGGCAACAGATGCGCTGAAGATACAGTTGTAAGGCTACCTGAGTCCATGTTTGTATATGCACATGTATGTTAAGTTTTACCCAAGGAGAAAAGGCAAATGGCTTAACTTGTGGCATTACTGCTACAACTTGTTTAAAATTAAGGTAGCTCTAATTTTTTAAAATTTATGATAAACCTGTTAGTGCAAGATGGACCCTATTTGGGTTAAATTCTCTTAAATCTGGTGCAGATTAATATCTGCTGGCATCTCCAAGAAAAGAAGGGGACTTTCCTCTGTTCCTGAGTGAGCAGGTGGCTTTGGGAGCAGTGTCTCAAGGCTCAGACCTCTAGCTGCTTCCATATTTCTTACCCATCTGGTCCCCTCACTTAGAGAAGCACAGCCCTCCCTACTCTGGAAAGCAGTACTTGGCCTCCCCAGATGCCGACAGTTACAACTTCTCTCCTCTATGGCCAGCATTCTGCTTTTCTAGCAACAGATGTTTCTGTAAAGTAAATATTATTGACTCTGCTTGGCTCCTTGCTGTGTTTTGCACTGCCTGTACATGAAACAGCAGGGTTATATGAGGAGGGTGCCACGAAGCTTGGCATGCACCCAGCACCAGTGCCAGCCTCTTTTCTTTTCCCTCTCCTCTTACTGGAATGTGTGTGTTAGATTCCTGTGTGCATCAGTGGGAAAGTTCTTGAAATAAACCTTTGGGGAGCTGCATACCCAAGGTGATATCTACATAACGTACCACCAATCCTACTGGGTTGAAATAGGCAAGAAGCAATGGCTTTGAGGTAGAAAGTTCCCCTTTTGATGTTATTTTCATTCTCTCAAGTAATACAGAGGGTTTGCCTTAATGGGGGAAGTGTTACGATATTCCCGCATACTACAAGGATCTCATTTCACCGGACTAAAGTCACAGGTCCTCTCCTTTGTGGCCTTGTGCTCTTATTTCACTCCTTTAGCTTCTCCGGCTCCAAACACAGTTTTATTCATGCCTACCTTTCCTGGTTCCTCTTATTGGAGGATTCATATAGAGGAAGGAACAGCCCAGCTATACCTAGAACTGAGTTTTATGATGCGCAGACTGCCTATACAGTGTGTGTCACTGGATTCTCCCTGCCTAGCCCATGGGCTGACAGCCTCCATCAGATGAGATAACTGAGACTTGTTGACTAACCCAGGGTTCCTTACATATCTGATCTATGGTGGAGCTGGAACTTGAACCCAGGAGCTGTGGGAATGGGGTGGGAACAATGGGTTGTGGTTGATCAGCCTGTAACCAGCACCCCATAGAATGCAAGCAGAGAAGGGATGTTCTCCAAAACAAGCTTCAGATGCTGTCCCAACATCTGGGGAATGGATTCCAAACAAGCAAAAAGACAGGCGTCCACTTTAGCTTTACTGAAAAATTCCTCTAACAAGCCTGAGGTGAGTTCCTTTTCAGGTCCACTCATTGAGTTTCTCGCTCTACCCAGCTGTCCTCATTAGCCTGAAGCCCAATATTGACTGTACTAGCAGTCATTACCTAATCGTCTATTGGGAGGTCGGCCTCTCCCTGAGCTTCCTGGGGTCCTCACTGCTTCTCAGGTTTGCACTGTGGCAGGGTGTGCTCTGTGCCAGCAGACAAGGAAATCAGGTCACCTGCTGGTCAGAAGCTAACAGGCCCTGCCCTGGGTCAGCAGGTCCCCCGTGCAGAGGCCCCACAAAGGCCCTGTTGTGCATGGCTAGGCACTCCCTGATCCTCACTGCCAGCTGCCCTTGGCAGTGCAGCTTTTCAGGTGTGTGCTGGGAGCTTTCCCAGGCCTGGCTTGCATTTCACCTTTTTCCACTTTGTTGAGGTGATTGTCCAGCTTGAGTTTCTCTTGCCTATGGGGGAGGCATAGGATTGTCAGGTGGGTAGAAAAGCAAACCTGTGTTACTCTTAGAGCAGACCTTTGTGAGTTCTGATCAGGAAACATCCTGACTAAAATAGGAGTGTGTATAAAACAACCACATTTGATGCACACACCTTTGGGGGTGCTAGAACATTGACTTCCACTCTAAAATATTATTCTCTCCCTTTTTTCTCGTGTCTACCTGTGGCCTCCTGCCTTGCTCCCCACAGGGTTCTGGCTTTTGGGTGCATCTGTTTCCTTCTTGGCTTGCCTTTTGTGATTGTGTTCTAAGGTATAGCCTCAGCCTGGGCTGGCCAGTTTGGACAGATGCCTGAGTCCCTGCCAACATCTTTTGACATTTTGGCAAGGACCATCTGTGAAAGAGACTGAATGAGGGGGAGACCAGAGACCGTTGGCTCCTGTGTTCCCCTTCTCCAGCCCAAGTGCCTTCTTTTGGTGTAGACCAGAGTGCTTTGCACAAGGCACAGCTAGCTTGGGACTGTGTCATCGGAGCGTATGGTAGGGAGGTCCCAGGAGCAGGAGCTGCAGCTGCTCTCCATGCAGTAGCCCGAGCCCTGGTCCTAAAAACAGCATCACAGCCCATGCCCGGCTCTTCACTAGCAGGTATTGCTTGGAATGAGCGCTGGGGATTGGATTTGTATCCAGTGCTGTACCCCACCTTCACTACCTCCCACATTTATTCAGCATACACTGAGCAGGATGCACTGCCAGGTACTCAGAGGAGAAACAAACCAAACCAAACAAAAAGATGGAAAACACGATCCCTAACCTCAAGGGGCAAATCCGGGAGCTAAGAAAAAGTACTGGGAGTTACAGATGCTTTTATTCTAGTAGGTTATGTTGATCTGTGCAGCCACAATCACGCTCCCTCTCCGAATATCTTATTAAAGCCAGGCCTTGTTGCCGGTTCTGCCTCATGTTTTCCTCCCCTGGGCATTTGGACATAATGCCATTTCCCCTTCAATAAGGGAAACATGTTTGAGGGTAATTTGAATGATTAGCCTAATCTGCAGGAAGACTGCATATGGAATTAAGTTAAACATATTTGTCCTCAGCAGCCAGATCTGTCAGTCCACTTAAAGGTACCATGGTGGTTTCATACCCTTAACAGAAGCTGAAGGCTCAGGAAGGATCACTGGCTTTCATTACTATTTTCAGTGAAAGCTTATGATGATGATTTTTTTGAGATGGAGTCTCGCTCTGTTGCCCAGGCTGGGGTGCAGTGGCATGATCTCAGCTCACTGCAAACTCCACCTTCCAGGTTCAAGCAATTCTCCTGCCTCAGCCTCCTGAGGAGCTGGGACTACAGGTGCAGGCCACCATGACTGGCTAAATTTTGCATTTAGTAGAGACGGGATTTTACTGTGTTGTCCAGGCTGGTCACGAACTCCTGAGTTCAGGCAGTCTGCCCGTTTCAGCCTCCCAAAGTGCTGGGATTGCAGGCGTGAGCCACCATGCCTGGCCGATGATGATTTTTTATGACAAGTGCCCTTGAGAGTTTTTTTTATGGATACTGTGTGTGGAATGTGTTTTTACTCCAATGCAAAACATTACTGGGGCTTTGTTCTCCTGGTGGTGTTGGATATGGCCAGCCAGGAAAATGGTTCAGGTGAATGTCAAGCTGGTGGTCCACTCTGCTCATAAGGAGAGTGAAGAGGATTGTGAGAACCTGGGCCTTGCCTATGCTTGAGTCAGAAGAGGAAGGCCAAGTGCTACGGGCAGGGCAGTTCCCAGCCCCTCCTCCCAGCCTTCCCCAGGCTCCCTCCCTAGTGAAAGTTTGTGTTGTGAGTAGGACCTAGAGGAAGTGATTGTTGAGTCAGACGTGTGGGGGCAGCTGCACTGACCCTGTGGAGGGTCGGTGGCAGAGCAGCTCTGCAGGCTGTGGACACTAATTCTGGCTCTGATCCGAGCTTTCTCCCCGATTTCCTTTGGCTAGTAGATTTCCCCACATTGAACACAGATGGCAAGTTGCCTTTAAGAAGTAGAGCTAAAACTTGAATTGCTCAGGCCAATATAACAAAAATATTAACTTCTAGAGCAAATCACTGCTTCATGTTATAACCAAGTGTTGGCTGTTTTGAATTTATATTCTTTTATGCTTTGAAATGGATGCAGGAACAAATCTGCCTCCTAAGATATTCCTAGAAGGACCAATAAGGGCAGCAAATCAGAAATCCAGTTTAATTTTAGTAATTCCTGATTTTTCCTTTCTTTTTCTTGCTAGATTTGTCTTCAGCGAAGCGGAAGTTTGCAGATTCCTTAAATGAATTCAAATTTCAGTGCATAGGAGATGCAGAAACAGATGACGAGATGTGTATAGGTAAGTTGTAACTGTGCAGAAGATAAAAATCTTAATTGTTTGTCGTGGCCTTCAGTGTCCCAGCAGAGCCTTTTTCCTGGGATAGGAAGTCTTTAAGGTTAGTAAAGAAAGAAGTCCTTAGTGGAAGTGGAGGGGCAGAGATGTGTGAGGATTGGGGCTAGGGACTACTCTGGTCTTCTTGAGTTCTGAGATTGCCTCACCCTCCAGCATACAGGAGAGAAAGCTTGAAGTTGTGCAGTGAGACTCTCCTTTCCACCTCCCTTTTGTGTTTTTCTGGCTGGTGACATTCTTCCCCTCCAACTACAGTACTAAGAGCTTAGAGCATACGTGAAACAGGTAGATGAGGGGAAAATTAGATCAGAGGTTGCAAAACGATAGCTCCCAGGCTGAGATCAGAAAGAACACAGCCCTGCTTTCTTTGGCTTTCATTTTAAAAATTAAATTACCACATAAATTCAATTTATAATCGACAATTCCAGTTTTCTAGCTTCTTCAAAAAGTTTGAGAATTTAATCTGTTGGCTCCCCGATTCTGACCTGGCAGGAGTTGGCTGAGCTGTGTGGCTGCCACTGCCTTCAGACAGGGAGAGGAGCTGTGTGTCTGGTTCTCCTGTACTGTGGGCAGGGAGGTCCCCACCTCTCTTGTTTCCTTAAAAAGAAGCTGAGGTGGGTTACTGTTTCTCACCACACTCTGCTGCTTCACTCTTCACCGTGACCTGCCTTGGTCTGTAGGGAACCCTAAGCACGGGGGATTTGCATTGTTAAGATACCTTTCTTTGCCAGGGCCATGTCATTGCACACTATTCTCCTATGGGCACCTTGGTTGACTCCATTAAATGAGCAAGAATTGAGAAAGTTTTATTGGATTAATTAATTCATCAAATGCTTATTGAGTTCCTTCTGCCATGCAGAACGCCAGGATCTGGGGCTGAGCACAGGCGACTGGGAGACAGCTGAGCGTGGTGAACACGTGTCCTGTAACTTTTGAATGTATGGATGCTTTTCCCAACATGGCTCAAGGGTCTCGGGTATCCTCAGGGACACTGCACATACTGCTTATTGCGTTTGTGAATAATTCTGGCAAAACTGTCATGTCTAAGCACCATGCTTTGAGGTGCATTCTATTAATGAGTGGCTTGAGTACTCAGGAGGAACCCAAAGAGAAGCCAGAGATGTGGCTTCCAATGGCAGCAGCACTGTTTGTTTAGTTCTGCTGCCAAAGAAAAGGCTGAGTTCTGACGCAACACCATGACAAAGGTTGAGGAGGTCAAATCCGGACAGGAAATTCTTCAACTCCTAAGCGGAACTCTGCCCCTTCCAGCCTGGGGCCTGGAAGCCTGCCAGCATCTCACCAGTCCTGGGTACCCTCAGGAACAGGCAGGTCTTTTCCTTGAAGAAATCATTCCCTAGCTAGAGTGCCAGGTAGAATTAACCTGCATTTCTGGGTCATCCTTAATGGTTAATGATTAAAAAGATGAAGGGAGCCTTGGGAAGCAATTGGCTTTAGGCGTCTGTATGTGCCAAGGAATTAAAATCCATAACATAATAGCCAGAGGTGGAAAGGCTCCTCAAGACCCCTGACACTCCTTCCACTTCATGGCCCCTTTCTCTTTTTCAGCAAGGTCCTTGCAGGAGTTTGCCACTGTCCTCAGGAATCTTGAAGATGAACGGATACGGATGGTGAGTAGGGCTGGGCTGCTCTTGGTCCCAGATAGTATGTTCGTGTTGAGTGAGCAAGGGATTGGTTATCAAAGAACCAGATTCAAATCCAGACTCTACCACTTGAGTGTTTTGAGCTCTTCAGCAAGCCTCATCTTTGTAGAGTTTGAAGCCTTTTGTGGATATTAAAGGATTACTCTGGTGGATAATTTTAGAATATAGTTAAACGACATCCTTCTGAAGATTCATTTTAAGGTCCTATAAGCATTTCACTTTTTTGGGCCTCAGATTCTCTACCAGCAGAATGAGAAACAAGGTGCCCCACTCTGCCCCTACCCCATTTTATTGAACCTGATTGATCAAGAAGAGTCCTTTGAGGGCAGGGATCACTTCACTTTTCTTTCTTTTCTTTTCTTTTCTTTTCTTTTCTTTTCTTTTTCTTTTCTTTTCTTTTCTTTCTTTCTTTCTTTTCTTTCTTTCTTTCTTTCTTTCTTCTTTTCTTTTCTTTTCTTTTCTTTCTTTCTTTTTCTTTTTTTTATTAGACGGAAGTCTCGCTCTGTCACCAGGCTGGAGTGCAGTGGCAGTATCTCGGCTCACCACAATCTCTGTCTCCCAGGTCAAGTGATTCTCCTGCCTCAGCCTCCCGAGTGGCTGGGACTACAGGCGCACGTCACCACGCCCAGCTAATTTTGTATTTTTAGTAGAGATGGGGTTTCACCATGTTGACCGGGATGGTCTTGATCTCTTGACCTCGTGATCTGCCTGCCTCAGCCTCCCAAAGTGCTGGGATTACAGGCGTGAGCCACTGCACCTGGCCTTCACTTTTGTTTTCAAGCACCCAACACTGTCTGCCAGGTAGTAGGGACCCAGTAAAAGGTACTCTGTAACGAAGGTAACTATGGAAAGCTCTTCTAATAGAGGCATTGTTGGGCCGGGTTGCGGTGGCTCACGCCTGTAATCCCAGCACTTGGGAGGTTGAGGCAGGCGGATCACGAGGTCAAGAGATCGAGACCATCCTGGTCAACATGGTGAAACCCCGTCTCTACTAAAAATACAAAAATTAGCTGGGCATGGTGGTGCATGCCTGTAATCCCAGCTACTCAGGAGGCTGAGGCAGGAGAATTGCCTGAACCAGGAGATGGAGGCTGTGGGAGCTGAGATCGCGCCATTGCACTCCAGCCTGGGTAACAAGAGTGAAACTCTGTCTCAAAAAAAGAGGCATTGTCTACATTTAAGGGTCAAATGCTGATCTCCAGGTTCTTAAGAGATATCTTTTGTACTAGAATTTATTTTTCTGGGAGACAGAGAGGGTCTCACTCTGTCACCCCGGCTGATTGCAGTGGTGTGGAATCATAGCTCACTGCAGCTGCAAACTCCTGGGCTCAAGTGATCCTCCTGCTTCAGCTTCCTGAGTAGCTAGGACTATACGTCTGCACTACTATACCTAGCTAATTTATTTTTTATTTTATTTTATTTTATTTTTTTTGTAGAGATGAGGTCTTGCTGTGTTACCCAGGCTGATCTCAAACTCGAAACTTGAAATGATCCTCCCACCTTGGCCTCTCAAAGTGCTGGGATTATAGGCATGAACCACCATGCCCAGCTTATAATTTATTCTGATATAGTTCAGCATTAGCAGATAAGAGCTTCCACATCTATAGGAAGTTCCTTTGCATTTTCCTCCATATTCCTAAGATATGAGGAATAAAGCCTGACTTGAAGTCCCCTGCTGGCTGAGCACTGATTTGCTCCTAGGAGCGCTTGTCTTCAGGCAGCAGTGCTCCAAAGGTCTAGGAGAGATTGCATCAATCAGCATTTTCTTCTCTTCCCATACTAACAGTTGGTAGTTTGAACACTATTCACCAAGACATAATGTAGCCAGGTACTTTACATGCATTTTCTATTTTATCCCTCATGATGACTCTGTGAAGTGGTATCTGTATTAATGCTATTTTCAGATGAAGATATTGAAGTTTACAGAGGGTAAGTAACTTGTCCCGGATCACACAGTTAATAAGTCATACATTCTGGGATCAAACCCAAGTCTGCATTATATTAAAAATGTGGGGGCCAGGAGTGGTGGCTCTTGCCTGTAATCCCAGCACCTGGGATGCCAAGTTGAGAGGATTGCTTGAGCCTAGGAGTTCAAGACCAGTCTGGAGGCAACGTAGTGAGACCCCATCTCAACACAATGTTTTTTTAAAAAGGCCGGCATGGTGGTGCATGCTTATAGTCCCAGCTCTTTGGGAGGAGGTAGGAGGATGGCTTGTGCCAGGGAGGTCAAGGTTGCAGTGATTTGTGATTGCACCATACACTCCAGCCTGGACAGCAGAACAAGACCCTGTCTCAATTAAAAAAAAAATGAGGATTTCTTTAAAACTCCAAACAGAGTAGAAGCCTCTTACTTTCTACCCTACAAAGAGACCCAGTTTCTCTGCTGCTCCACTGCTGGTGCCTGAACCAGAATCAGAAGGGTGGTGGCAGCAGCAGTGGAGGCTGGTGGTGGGTGGAAGCCAGGGAAAGCTTGTGTGTTTGTGCACATGCTGGTGCCTGAGAAAGGGAAATGATTCTTTTGAGTCTGATTCTTGGCCGAGTTAGTATTTGGGGGTGGGGGTGTGGTAAGCAAATCACCATGAATACCCTGCAGATTGCTATGGCCTGTGGTAAGGGAACAATGACTGGATTATACTTTTCAGCTTGCCTCTGCAATTTTATTATTAATGTCAGTAAATTGAGTTTCTACTGTCTGCATCTGAGTATCTGGCCATTGCAAACCCCTTCTCTACTTCCTTGCCCTATGACAACTTCATCATCAGTTCAGTTCAACTCAGCAAACAAAGCTGTACCTTCTCTGGGAAGCCTTTCCTGACTTCCTGGGTTATATGGCTGCCCTTGGTATTTTCTTAACATTCAGTTTATGCTTCTGATCCTGTGTTTACCACATTGTGTCCTGATAAACATTGTGCCTGTCTGTGCCCTAGAGTAAATACGAGTTCCTCTAGGGTGGAGAAGGGGCTTCCATGTCCCCAACATCAGGCAGTGTTGGAACCAAGTGGACATTACACAGTCATAGAATCTTAGACTAAGTGGGACCTTATTCCTCACCATCTGCAATTGCTCATTGACAGATGAGGAAAACAGATCTTATTCAGGATGATAGCAAGTAGTAGTATGGCTGGGACCAGGAATTGCATGTCCTCATTCCTAGGTAAGAAATTGAGTTCTTCTGTATTATAAGCATCTGCTTAGGACTAGATTCTCAGTCATGGATGTCCACTGGAATAACTTGGGGAGTTTGAAAAATACTGATGTCTGGGACTAAGTCCAGGGATTCTGAGTTAGTTGGAGTGTAGCTTAAATACAGGGATTTTAAAAGCTTTCCAGGTGATTCTACTATGTAGTTACGGTTGAGAATCATTAACTTAAGGGCTTGACATATTTTTGTGAGCTTCAGAGACTTGCAGGTGGTTTGAGGAAAAGACTTAGGTGAACTGATTAAGTAACATCAAATAACAATAAAAATCATAAACAAGTTAACACCACAACACTCTAGTCTTAAATTTCACTCTTCTGAAATAAGTGATCTCAAAACTGAGAAAAAGGCAAGTGGGAATAAATTTGGAGTCTTGACTTTTTCTGTCCCTTACATTGTTCAGTTAGTTCTTTACTGTGTCCATCTGTGACTTCTGGCATTTACCCTGTTAGTTTCATTGCAGTGGACATGCGTGTGCTTTAGGAAAAATAATGCTTTGTTGTAGCGAGATTCCGGGAATAATTAGTTGAGCAAAGAGTGATTAATGAATGACTTAAAAGGAAAAACTATAAAATACTGTACTGCCTTAGAAAAGACCATAGAGTCTTAGAGCTGGATAATTCAGCCCACTCGTTTTGCAGATGACGAAGTTAGAGCCCAGAGAGGTTAAATGTTTTGCCCATGGTCACACAGTTGGCAGCCAATGAAGAAATAATCCATTCATTCATTTATTCATTCAGAAATGTTTTCATGCTGCTTTGTCTCAGCACTCTTCTTTGTTTTGGGGATAGTGGTGGTAAAGTGAGCCTTTACAAGATACTGACGTATATTTGTGTGTGTGTGTTTGTGTGTGTGTGTGTATGTGTGTGTGTATAAATGTGTGTAGTGGTAAACCAGAACACACTTGTAGGGGAGGGAAGTTGAGTTATGTTGGTAGTCAGAGGTGATCTTTAAAGAGGTGATCTTTAAGCTGCAACCTTAACTACATAAAGGAACTGTCCCTGTAAGGGTCTGGGAATACAGTGTCTGAAGGAATAGCCAAATGCTATGGCCCTGAGGTGGGACAAGTTTGGTGCGTTTGAAGTGCACTGGTGTGCAGGTGGGTTGGAATGCAGGATCTGAGGGGTGACCCTGTGAGATGAAGCTGAGAGGCAGCCAGTAGTCAGGAGGCACAAGTATCTTTAGTCCAGTCCTGTCTTGGTAGAGTGACACAAAATCAGGTTTGAAAGGGTTTTGCGGCATCAAATGTCCAGAGATTTTGTTGTTGTTCTTGTTTTGTTCTTAACCTATACTCAGTGTTGATCTACTTTCCTTTGTAAATGAATATTTACAAGAAAGTGTCACCTGAAGCTTGTAACTAAGACCCCAGTCTTTCACCAGTTTCCCTCTGTCCCTTCAGACGGTTGCTTAACGGTTTGAATTCCTCATTTTTGCTTTAAGAGAATCAGTATGAATCATGCAGGGAGGAAGAGGATCATATTTTGAAATGTGACAGTTTTGATATGACATGCTATTAGTTCAAAGGTTGTAAACAGTTGACACGTATAACATTGCTTACTCAAATTTTATCCTAAGACATGGGGAGGCATCTTGTGCTGGAGCTGCTGTAATTCTTTACTGATACTGCTTTTGTGTCTTCTTTCTCCTACTCTGTTTTTCTTTGCTAGATTGAGAATGCCAGCGAGGTGCTTATCACTCCCTTGGAGAAGTTTCGAAAGGAGCAGATCGGGGCTGCCAAGGTGAGAATTTTGCAAGCTTTGGTCTTGGATTTAGAGTGAGAGGTCTGGAAAACACAGCACCTTCTTTAAAAAAATCTAAGAATGTCTCAGAAATTGGAGCCCCACCTTCTTCAGAAAATCTTAGGTAGAGAACTCACTCTATAGAGCCTAACTCATCAGGTCTTTACAGGTGACTGAAGTATGGCCATCTGAGCGGTCGACCCTAGAGCAGCCATTCTGGTATTTTGTTATCTAATTGCTTTGGTGCTTGTTCATAAATCATCCAAAGGTAGAAACCACACCTTGTTTGTGTCATTATAATAGATAGCTGTATGCTTAGACAATTGCCTATGTTGGACAATACATTCGTTTCTGTGGAATTGTATTTGTTGTGGAGGTCCAGGACTTGCATCTTAAACAGGGGCTACCCATTATGCCCCGTGGGTATGGGGACTTTCCTTTAAAGGGAAGCAGCTTGTACATAGGTTTAGCTGATTTTTGCTGGGTCTGGAAATGGGCCCTCTCTTGGTGATTCTTTAAATGTTTCAAGACAAACCGAAAGCCAGTTTTATGTGAAATCTTTTATTGGCAAATAATTTTAAAATATATGTTACACATTGTGCAGGTCAAAAAATGACATCTGCAGGCCTTGTTCAACCTGGAGATCACCATTTGTTACCACTGATCTGGAAGGATTGTAGCCTAAACTTGACTAATTATAATGTGTTCTCGAGAGACTCCTGTTCCTTTTTAAAAGGTGAATTCTCCAGGGCTCCCTTGTCCTGTAATAAATCACTAGCAGGGCCAGGCACGGTGGCTCACGCCTGTAATCCCAGCACTTTGGGAGGCCAAGGTGGGCGGATCATGAGGTCAGGAGTTTCAGGCCAGCCTGGCCAATACGATGAAACCTCATCTCCATGGTGGCATCTGCCTGTAGTCCCAGCTACTTGTGAGGCTGAGGCAGGAGACTCGTTTGAACCCAGGAAGCAGTGGTTGCAGGACCTGAGATCTCACCACTGACTCCAGCCTGGGTGACAGAGCGAGACTTCGTCTCAAAAAAAAAAAAAAAGTCTTTAGGAAACCCTAGCTGGTTTCAGTAGAGTGTTAGAGGCCACCTGCAGGGAAGATGTTTTCATTGGAATCAATGAAAGCAAAAAGATTTCCAACATTTTCTTCCTGGTTTTCTGGAACTGTGAGTCAGTTCAGTTGCAGTCTCTTATGCCATCTGCAGGGGCTTTTGGGCAACACCACCTTCCTACTTGTGTGGATTTTACTGAATTGCAAAATGAGATATTTGTCGCCCCTACAACACACACACACACACCTGTAAGTGCATCAGCTTTCTGGAAATAGATATGATTAGGGCCCACAAAAGATGTTGTTTATTCAGGGTCCTTCAGAGAGATGGTTGACTGTAGTTTGAAGGAGGGACTGTGGCAAAGACTTTTCTCCAAGTTTTATAGTACTTTTCTACTAATTTTGGTTTACACATTTATAAGGAAGTAAGGAATGTATATATATAATTTGCATGAAGTCTTATTCCACTAAGATTTCATCCAGACTGTGGTGAACCAGTCCAGTGATGGCAGATAATAAGCTGTGAACAAACGCTCCCTCAGTTCCTGGCAGTGCAGGCCCCCCGGCAGGCCTCTTCTTGGTGGCCTTGGCACCTGTGCCTCCCTGGTCTTGAACATGCTTGGCAGTGGCTTCCAGGGGTTATGCAGAGCTTTGAGACCAAGGCAGAAGATTCCTGTCTGTTGAGTCATTTTTCAGTAGTTACTTCTCTTTCTGAGCACAGACGCCTCTCACTCTGGCCTCTTCTCTTACCAGCTTGGGTGTTACCGTAGTTACCAAGGAGGTGAGACAAGAGTCTGAGTGGGCTCCCTTTGGGCTGGTACCAGTGATCTTAATGACAGGAAGAGGTACTGTCCCACCAAGGGTATAAATGGTGATGTATTAGGATGAAAGAATTTAAATAAAATAGTCACTTACCAAAGCATGTTTCCCCCCATGCATACTCTGTTCCCTCATTCATTAAACCATGAACAATAATGAATTATTAAACATCTTTCTGATGATCATTAAAGAAGAACTGTGATGACATTTGAGTGATTTCTCATCCCTCCCATTTGTCATTTTTTTTCCCCTGGCATATCCTCCTATCCATCACTCCACATACACATACATTTTAATCATAACATTATGTAAATTTAAGAGAAAACAAACAAGCTAACAGCAGATCCACTTCTAGACGATCCAGGGAGCAGTCTCAAGAACACCTCAGAGCCAGCGAGTGCTCTTCAGCTGGTTTTGGTAGTGGCCAAGTGGAGGTTCTGAACTCTGCCTGTGCCAACGCTAAAATTACTTTTTCCTCCTCCTCCACTCTCTGGTGCTGTTTCGGTTGCCATAACAGCCTGTTGCAGAATGCATGGTGTGAAGGCTGCCAGGGAGGAAGACTCATGGGCATTCTTATGCTAACATGCTGCTGAGGAGTAGGGCATCACCCTAGTGCTTGACTTAACTGTGGCCCTAAGTTTCTGTTTCCGAGTTTGAGGAAATTAATTTTTCCTGTGTCAGAGGTACATTTGGAATGCTGGACTCTGCAATAAGTATAACAGGCAGAAGAGAGTAGCATAAAGAGTGAGTCTGAGCTAGACCGCCTGAATCCAAATCTCACTTCTGCCATTTGCATGTAGACTTGGGGAGGTTACTGACCCTCTTCGTGCCTGTTTCCTGGTCTCTAAAATGGGGTAATAATAAAACTTGTCTCAGAGAGTTATTATGAAGAAGTGAGTGAACTCATATCGAATGCTTAAAACAGTGTCTGTCATATAGCTACCTGAACACAAGAACAATGTGTGTTATGTAGTCATTCGATATTAGTGATTATATTTGATACACACAATTCATTCATTGAAAAAATATGTGAGGGGCTGCTCTGTGCCAGCATTGTTCTGTGCCCTGATATGTGATGAAGAACAAGGCAGATGTGGTTGCGTAGCTCATGGTGTGGCTGGGGAGAAAGATGTTAGACAAAAAGAGATAAATAAATACATAATTTCCAATTGTAGTAGGTTCTTGGGAGGGTTACCTTCATGGCACATGGGACATAGAAAGCAGGTGTGTTCTTGATAAGAAGGAGGCAGGTTTTGGTGATAAGCTCACCCCTGTCACCACCGTTGCTGGCGTTTATTGAGCACTTCCCATGTGGCAGGCACCCTGGTAAGCACTACTTGTGGTTTATTTCATTTAATCCTAGAAATCCTTTGGTGGGTCGGGGGGGGGGGGTCTTATTTTTATTTTGTTATATGGTCTTTGAGCTGAAAGAAGAAACCCGAGCAATTATTTAATCATCCTCAATTTATAGTTGAGGAAATTGAGTCCTGGAGGGGCATGGCGATTTGTTTCTGGCCAGTCCATATTTAGTTGGGAATACATTTTAGGATTCTAACTCAATCCTTGACTTAACCACCCCCCAGTAGATTCTCTGAAAGGTGAAAACCATCTTGTGTCCTGAGTAACAGAGTAATACCACCCTCCCATCTTAGGAACGTTATCTAAACTGTAGTACTTTTTTGCTGCAGAGGTCTTGTTGCTATTTTCTCAGGACAGAAATGGCTTCTCTTTCTCCTTCTTCTTTTCTCTAACTTTGGCTATCCTCTTAAACATGGAATCCAGAAGCACAAGTTGTCAGAATGTCCCAGAATGCCAGTGACTCATGTTCTCTGGCCTTTTCTCACCTCTGGCCAGCTGGATTGTCTGGCACCAGGATTCGCCTTTTTGGGGTTGCTGATAAGGCTGGCGGAAGTGGATACATGTGAACGGCAATTGGAGTTGGAGCCCCAGTTCAAAGTTTCTGGTTTCTCTAATGGAAAAGAACTGCTTGAGTCAAGTCTCTTGCCTGTCCCCTCCTGAGATTTGAAGGAGTAATGTGACCTCAGGCTTTTTCTTCATTTGCTGCTGTATGCTTAATTGTTCTTGGACTAGAGTAGTCTTTTAAGCCAAGCTCAGATTCATAGAAATGGATATATGTCAGTTAAAATGGATATATGATTATTCACCCCACTCTGTGAGCATATACCAGATGAGTGGTATTCTGATTGGTGGAGCTTGTCAGGGATCCGGGTGATGGCTTCTTGCTCAGAATGTCCTGCCCCAGGGCATTTGCACTTGACTGTTCTGCTCTAGAAGGCTCTACTCTACTCCTGTATTTAACAGGTAGGCCTCAGCTCACATCTCCCTTCCCCAAATGATGCGTTTCCTGGGTGCCCTATCTAAAGAATCTCTGTGACCGCATCCTGCTTATTTCCTTTGTAGCACTTGCAGCAGTCTATAATTGTGTTGATTATTTGTTTACTGGTTAATTGAAACATTTCTACCATGAGGGTTGGGACCATTTTTGTCTTATATTTCTGGTATGTAAAGTAGAGCCTTGCACAGAGTGGTTGCTGATTTTAAATTTGTTAAAGAAATAAAGAGATGTGTCTCTTTATTTAACCAGAAAATATTTTTCCTTATTTAACCAGAAAATATTTTTCCTTGAAGTTGCAGAAAAACATCCCTAGGGGTTTGGGCTCCACATGAGTCAAAAGCAGGAATAATGTACCCAATTAGTAAATCTGATCCTGTTTATCAGCCCAGTGCCAACCTTCTTCCAGCCTCCTTGCCTGCTCTCCCCATTGGAATGGGGAAGGCAGGCAGACTGCCTGTGACTATCTGTCTCACCTGTGGAGGAGAACATGGGCTTTGGAGGCAGATTGTCCTGGGCTCAAATCCCAGCTCTGTCACTCTCCATGACTTTTTACAAGTTCACTCTTTGGATCCAAGTTTTCTTATCTGTTAAATGGGAGACAGAAATAGAACCAAGTGACCCAGTGATTCAGTGGTGGGGAACAGGGATTTATTTGTATATTATGGTAATTATTTTTCATTTTGAGGGCAATAATACAGGCTAATAAAATAATTTCTTAAAGAGAAGAAAAAACTGTTACCCCATTACCATATTACAGGTATTTTCGTATAAGTAAATTCCCACATCATCTTTGTCCCTAGGTAGACACACTCTATGTAGGTAGGATGCCTCAGGTTTATGTAATGCTATTATTACTTTTCTCTCTAATTTTCCAATGACTTGTTAGGCTTATTAGATGTTCCATACTTTAATTATGCCAAACTCTATCCTTGACAATGATGTTGCTGCTTTTATTTTTGTTTTGCTGGCATAAAAATGGTGCTGTAGTAAACACATTTGTGTGAAGATAATACCGTTGTTTTGAATTATTCCTCAGCTTAAAGATCTGCATGTGATATTAAGGGTCAAGAGATATTTAGGCTTACATACCAAGAAGTGTTTTTTGAACAGTATTAAGGCTGGATCTAGCCTTAGTATAGGCTTGTCTCATTCTAACTGTAAGAAAATCTTCCTTCCTTGATGTTAGCTTCATAGGTACCCTCACTGCCGCTGCCCGCCCCCGCCCCCGCCCCCAACCCCTGACCGCCTTCGGGCCTTGAATATCCTTGTGAGTTAGAAACTAGAAATTTCTATTTCGCAAAGTTCTTAGAGGGAGAATCTCAGCTTTGCCACCATTAAATACTGGTATTTACCTCATTTCTGGCCTTATAATGGTGCCTCTCTGTTAGACACTCAAACCCAGGGGGCTGTTGATGGGTGACCATGGGATTCAACGGGCATCACCTGAAAAGTAGGAGCTGAGTTGTCATCTGTGTTCTGAGCAGAAAGATCTTGAGAGATGGAGGCTGCTTTTATTCCTGCAAGATGTTACCTTTTGTCTTTTTCTCTTCTCCTCTTTTTTTGCCAGGAAGCTAAAAGAAGTATGACAAAGAGACAGAGAAGTATTGTGGCATCTTAGAAAAGCACTTGAATTTGTCTTCCAAAAAGAAAGAATCTCAGCTTCAGGAGGTAAGAGACTTTATTAGTATCCTGAATAAAGTGTTAAACTTGTACATGGTGCTTTAGATATGTGCTGGTTGCTCTTTGCTAGAAAATCTTAGGGTTAGAAGAGACCTGGGAAGTCAGGAACTTGCTCCTGATCTCTCATCCAGTGCCTGATGCCTGGACTGCCTTTGTGTCCTCCCATCCCAGTGTGGCCACCCTTTGTAGCTTTCTAGCCTGTCAAGGTGTAACACACTGCTGGCCGAGATGACCACCTCCTTGTTGGGCTGCCCTGATTGCTAGATGTCTTGATTTCAAACTGATGTTTCTTTTCCTGTTTCTCTCATTCTTGGCCGTAATTCTGCCCTCTGTTACTTTACCTTTTGACTTCCTGCCTTTTATCGGTGATTGAAATGTTAGCATCTCAAACGTTTTGATTATCCTTCCTTAATATTATTTTTTTCATTATTTCAACCAGCACTTGGCATTAGTCTTCTTCCTTTTTTTTTTTTTTTAAGTAGTGCTTTCTTTTCCTGTGTATGTTTTGTGCTTTGGTAATGTTGTTTCAAGAAAATACATTTCTTAAATTTGCTCTTGTTTTTTCTGGGTGTACATGGTATCTTTTAAAAAGTAGTTCATTTGGAAAGAAAAATGATGGAGCCGTGGCAGACAGGGATCTGTGACTATTTTTATTTAGTTCATGAAGACTAGCATGTTAAGGGAGTTTATGCTTCTTGGAGACAGGGGAGTTTCCTAGTGGAACCCCAAATTTGGCTTTAAAAATGTCATCTCATTTAACTGAACAATTTGCTTGACCTCTCTCATGATATTTTTGCAAAAAGAGTCTACCGTGGCTTCCAGGTTGGCCCTTGTTCTTAAATTTTAATTCTTTTCCAGCAGATACCATGCTTCTGTTAGGTGAAAGTTCACATGAGGACAGTGGAGTCAGAGGTGGAAAGGTTGAAGTAAGAGATGGTGGAGTTGAGTCCCCTCCCAACCACAATTGGTTACGCATCTTGGGATAGGAATGTGGTGTTCTCAGAACTTTTTGCTTTGAAATGAGTATTTAATCCAGTTCTTAGAATAGAGATGAGGACCATTGCTCAACAGCAATGACAACTGTAGCAACAAGTATTTATAATGGGCTTTGCAGGTCAGTTCTTGACCAGCCAGCAGACAGCATTGAGTATTTGATGTGTGCTTTACAAAGTAGAAAATGCTAATTTCTCCTTGAAGATCTTGTGCCTGAGTAGAGAAAAAGAAGCTAAAGCAGAGGAAGTGTTTCTTGAAGGGGCATAGCTACTTAGGTAAATCTTGTCAAATGTGATTGAAAAACCTTAAAAAAAAAAAAAGCTTTTTTTCATGGGGTGTAAAGACTATCCCAACTTGACAGGAGGATATAGGCACTATCCCAAAGACGTGGATAGTCCATGATAAATATGGAATTCTATTTAGAATCTGTCCTGATACCCTCACTTTTTAGTTATTCTTCTGGCATCACTTGGCATTTAGGATTTGGAAACTAAATTATGTTTAAAGAAAGCCTTTTTGGGTGTGCTTCACAATGACCAGGTCGGTCCAGCTCTCCACATTCTAAGCAGTTATAAATTATGGATTAGATGACTATGCACCATTAGTACAGATACTCAAGAGTATTCAGAGTTGAGCAGGTGTGTGGTTTTTCTAGCACCTGCAGAATTTGGGAGGCCCACAGTACAGTTAACAGTAGGCACGGCATTCCCTAGAACAAAGCTGCTTCTCCACCAGATCCATTCTCTCCATGGCCAGATATTGCAGACTTGGTCTTGAATGAGTCCAGCATTTTCTTATAGGGCCCTAAATGCCCTCTGAGTTAACCACAATATAGGGACCAGAACACTGGACTGGCAAAGAGGATACCCGGCTTCAAAACCTGTTCTGCCATGTATTTACCCTGTGACCTGGAGCAAATTACTTCAACTCTGTAAGCTTTATTTCCTTTATTTGTTAAATACTCATGAAATACCTGTCCTGCTTACGTTATGAATGAGAAGACAAATATAGCTTCTGTTCAAGTATAAAGTATTTTATATTTAATGTAAAATGTGTAAATATCCTTATGATTGGCCTATTCTGTTCCATTTTCTGTTCCTAAATTGTATGCCACTATTCCTGACTCTGCCAGTTCTGTATTTCAGTGGATGTTTTCCATTATGTTCTCTTACTACAATCCTTTATGTTCTTGCCTTTGACCTAGTCATACTTTCTAAGTACTTTGAGTGTAAGGATTGGGTTGCAGATCTTGCAGGTTCTGGTCTGTTCTCAGGCATTGCTTTTTAGTTGTACCTGAACTAAATTAAACTGTATAAAAATCTAACTCAAAACAGTAAAAATGATATTACTACTGCCAGTAACCACATCAATAACAACAATAATATAGGGAAACATTTGTTGAGTGCATATTTATGGCCCAGGTATGGTGTTAAGCACTTTACCTAGAATCTTCTGTAAGCCTCACCCTAAGAGGTATAGATAGATGTGGTTATTACTCTGTTTTACATCTGAGGAAACTGAGGCTCAGATATGAAAAATAGCTTAGTGGTAGCAAGTCAACCCCAGCACCTGGCTGTGCAGCCCTTTCCCTTCACCCAGTTTGCTTTCTATGTCTCTGTCTGGGGAGGGATGTTGAGGCTCACTTACCTGCTGACCATTGTTATTTAGTGCCAGTGTCATGACATAGAATTGGAGATAGGGAAGGACCTTAGTGAGCAACTTTTTTTTTTTTTTTTTGCTTTTGAGACAGAGTCTAGCTCTGTCACCCATGCCGGAGTGCAATGGCACTATCTCGGCTCACTGCAACCTCCACTTCCTGGGTTCAAGTGATTCTCCTGCCTTAGCCTCCCAAGTTGCTGGGACTGTAGGTGCCCGCCACCATGCCTGGCTAATTTTTGTATTTTAAGTAGAGACGGGGTTTCACCATATTGGCCAGGCTGGTCTCAACTCCTGACCTCCTAAAGTTCTGGTATTACAGGTGTGAGCCACCGCATCCAGCCATTTCAACTTCCTTGAACTACATTTGAAGGAACTGAGTTTCTTGCAGAGGTCAGGTGTTTTGTTGAAGGTGTTCATATATGTAGTGATCATTTTCTTCACATTTATTAACAATTCAACTTTTAGGAATATTATTGAACAGGTGGTACACCTTTGATGAAACCTTTCACTTTGATTGTCCAGAATCGTTCCCTGATTGCAGAGTTCTGCACCGGATGCTTTTAAATTCCAGCCCATCCCTAAATCCCTGGAAGTAGAAACTATAGGGCAGTGATGTGGAATGACACTGCCATCTAGTGGATAATTTTTTAAAATGCGTAGTTTTGAATGGTGAAAAAGCTTGCTTCAAAAACAGTAGTCATTCATTCAGCAAATACTCACTGGATGCTTCTGCAAAAGTCTGTCAAGGCACTGGGTGTTTTGTAGAAAGTGAAATGAAGGATCTTCCTTCATGGAAATTACAATTTAGGAGGAAGTCTCTTTTCCAGGAAGCACAGAATAGTTGATGGATTTAGACAAACTGGTAGATTTCTAGCTTCTCAAGTGGCAGGCAGGGAAACTGTCTTGAGTGTTCTGCAGGATGGGTTGGAATTCTGGCTTATAATTCTATTGCTGGGAGCCCAATGATATGATGAATTCTGTGGCCCACAACAAACAGGGGCATTGGCAAGAGAAATATAACATTTCACTTGAGATTTCTTCTTCCTTTTCCTTTGGGAATACATTAAGTTATGCATTTGTTCTTAGTTATGGGTCATTGCAGAGATGTGCATTTGGTGCTGAATGATGGCCACATGGAGATCAATTCATTCCTTCTGTATGCACCTGTTGAACATTTATTATGGGCCAGACACCATTGTGAGGACTGGTGGAGAAAATGAAAAAAATAGACAAGATCTTTGTTCTCATGGACTTTATATTCTAGTAGGCAATACACAAGAAAAGAAAGGAATAGGCCAGGTGCAGAGGCTCATGCCTGTAATCCCAGCACTTTGGGAGGCCAAGGCAGGCAGATCACTTGAGGTCAGGACTTCGAGATCACCCAGACCAACATGGCGAAACCCCGTCTCTACTAAAAATACAAAAAAATTAGCTGGATGTGGTGGCACGTGCCTATAATCCCAGCTACTTGGGAGGCTGAGGCAGAAGAATCACTTGAATCTAGGAGGCGGAGTTTGCAGTGAACCAAGATCGTACCACTCCACTCCAGCCTGGGCAACAGAGCAAGACTCCGTCTCAAAAAGAAAAATAAAAAAAGAGAAAGGAATGGATAAGAGTTTAAATTGGGAGATGATATAGAGATTTCCTGGTAACCTATTTAAAATAATGTAGTCAATGAAAGCTTCTCCTAAAGTGGTAACATTTAAACTGAGCCCAGAAGGAATGAGCTAATGAAAGGCCAGGACAATCTTCTTCACGTTGTGAATGTGTTGTAAAATCACAATTATTGGGTCATGAAATAGAGTAGGCTAAAATAGAATAAAAAATATGAAAGTGCATTGTACTTAACAATTATAAATGTGTGTTTATTAAATCATAATATAAAAAGTATTTCTTACTGTATGTTGAAGTTAAAATAGAAGAGGTTTTCAGGCAGAAGGAGCACTGGGTATAAAGGTTGTGGGAAAGAAAGGGTTTGGAGCATTAGAGGACAGGAAGGAGACCAGAGTGGCTGGAGCTTGGTGACAGTGGGTTAGGATGGGAGGAGGTGAGGCTAGAGGGTTGGGCAGATTATATAGGGTCTTGCAGACTATAATGGAGGCCATGGGAAGTCCTCGAAAGGGTTATGAGACCATCTGATTTAGATTTTAAGGTAGATATTCTGGTTCCTGGGTGCAGAGTGGGTTGGGACAGAGAGAGAGGATGAAGACAGAGGTACCAGTTAGGAGACAAGTGTAGTAGCCCAGAGATGATGTGGCTGGTTTAGGGTAGAGCAGGAAGTGAAGCCCTGTGCTCTGAAGTGCCTGGGGACAGTAACCACCAAAATGCACAGGACACTTTTCAAATTACTTACATCATTTGGCCCATTTTCTCTTAGAAACAGCTCTCTGCAGAAGCAGGGGCTGATGTTATCTCCATCTTCTAAAGATCAATGCCTTGAGCAGGTCTCACTCGCTAGGACATTGTAGAATTGGAGCTTGCACTTGGGCAGCTCTCTGATGTGGTGTCAGTTCTGTTTTCCTCAATGGAATTTCCTTCTGGATCCTTCATCCCTGCCTTTGCAGATTTTCAGAATGATGTCTCCTGTTTTTCCCCCTCCACTTGCAGTATCAGTTGGCAAGCCCAGGCAGGGAGAAGCTTTGAGGTGTATGGGGTAGTCAGGAGTAGATGCATCCCTCTGCATAAGTGTGTTGGATTTGCGCTACAGGGAGATCAAAGGCTATAGGAACACATGAGACTTAACAGCAGGAGCCCAGCTGGAAGGCATATCAGCCCAGTTGTCTAAGCAGCCACATGGTGCTGGGGGCTGTGGTGGTGAGTAGGATGCAGGACCTTTTGAAACCTGTCTCCAAATAAAGATTCATCAGTGCTCAGATAGCTCCTTTCCCTGCTTGGGAGCCTTAGAAAATGCCCCCAATCTTAGCCTTCCAGGTTGGTTTGATCTACCAGTTACTCAGCAGACTGGCTTTTTTTGTTTGTTTTTGTTTTTTCAAACAATGTCTCACTCTGTCCTCCAGGCTGGAGTGCAGTGGCACGATCTCAGCTCACTGCAACCTCTATCTCCTGGGTTCAAGAAATTCCCCTGCCTTCGCCTCCCGAGTAGCTGGGACTACAGGTGTGCCATCATGCCCAGCTAATTTTTTGTATTTTAGTAGAGACAGGGCTTCACCTTCTTAGCGAGGCTGGTCTTGAACTCCTGACCTCGTGATCCGCCTACCTTGGACTTCCAAAGTACTGGGATTATAGGCATGGGCCACCGTGCCTGGCCCAGACTGGCTTTTGAGTGTGAGAATATCCATTGCTGCAGGAGGAAGTTGCTAGCATGAGAGACTTGAATATATTCTTTTGGGGTGTTTTATAACATCTTATGTTTAACCAGAGCTTGCAGTTTTCTTTTAATTTACTTATTTGACTAATGTCTCTTTTCTTTACTATGCTATAAGTTCCATGAAGGAAGTTTTTTTTGCTCATGATGGTGGAATGGATAAATGATTTGCTAAGCTCTTAAGATGTCAAAGTAGCATATTGTATTTGGTATAATGGAAGTAAGGATCTGTCCCAAGTTTCTTCTGTAGCGATTTTGACAAAGGAACACTGAAGGAGATATGCCTTTGGGAGCTTTGTCTTAGTAAAGGGCGTTATAGAACCATTTCTGACTGTGTCGTTTCTAAGGGAAACAGAGTATGTTGTTTCTTACTGGCAGGATATTCATTTATATTAAAAATATATATTCACTTCAGTGTTCTGTCGTTGAAATATGCTGTCAGTGTAATTATCTTCTTTGAAGGAATGAGTTGACACAGACACATTGTGGAGAGATTTAGGGCTTTATAGTGAGAGTTGAGGTGATTCCCAGCATAGTGTCTTGCGTCCCCATGCATGGAGTTTCTCTCTGGGTGCCAGATCCCAGATCAGTGATTTAATTGTGCCCACTCATGGGCCTGTTTTGGACACACAACTGAACAGAAAGAGAAGTGAAATTGAGAGGGAGTGTTGAAATGTTCCTGCTTTGAGTAAACTGCTATCCTTATCATAAAGAAGATATTTGAGACTTATGTGAACATGGCCTTTTCTGAGGTTCCTGCCCTCTGACAGCTTGTTTAGCTCATTAGAGAGGCCTGGATGAGGATGGCTCTGCAGGATTTATTTTTCATTGTAAGAATCTGTCTCCCATGGAACCCAGGTTGCCCCAAGGGGTGGGGAGACAGTAGAGACTAGTGGTTTCAGGATGGTCCAAGGGCCTTAGGGCAGATGCACCAGGACAGAAATCCCAGCTCTGCCTTATACTAACTGTGTCACCTTAGTCAGGTTCTTTAATGTCAGTGGATTTTATTTTCCTCTTGTATGTTAGAGATACAGATAATATGTCTTTTCTAGGAATTTAGTGAAGATTAAATAATTACAATGAATAAGGATTAAATAAGGTAATGTATGTACAGCTGTAGGCATGGCTCCTGGCACAGAGTTAGTGCTCAGGTAACCATTATCATTATTCTCATTTCTGTTAGATTTGATTACTTTTAACATGCAGCATACTATTTGCGCTAATACGATGTCCATTTGGCTCACCCACTTAACCTTTTTTAGTGATATATAATAATTGTACATATTTATGGGGCATGTATGCTATTTTGAGACATGCCTATAATGTGTAATGATCAAATCAACTCCAACATTTGTCATTTCTTTGTGTTGGGAACATTTCATATCTTCTAGCTATTTTGAAATACACACTGTACAGCTGTTAACCATAGTCACCGTACTGTGTTATGAAATATAGAACTTATTCCTTTTATCTAATTGTATGTTTGCACCCATTAAACAACCTCTCTTCATCCTTTCCACTCCTTTCTTAGCCTCTGATAACTATCATTCTAATTTCTACTTCCTTGAGATTCACTTTTCTAGCCCCTACATATGAGAACATGTGATACTTGTTTTTCTGTGCCTTCACTTGACATAATGACCTCCAGTTCAATGTATGTTGCTGCAAATGACAGAATTTCATTCATTTTTATGGCTGAATAGCAGTCTATTTTGTATGCATATATTTATCCATTCATCCATTGATGGACACTTAGGTTCACTTCATGTGTTGGCTACTGTGAATAGTGCTGCAGTAAATGTGGGGGTGCAGGTATTCCTTTGATATACTGATTTCCTTCTCTCTGGATAAATACCAAGCAGTGGGATTGCTGGATTATATAGTAGTTCTCTTTTTAGTTTTTTGAGAAATCACCATACTGTTTTCCATAATAGCTGTACTAATTTACATCCCCACTGCCAGTGTATAAGAGTTCCCTTTTCTCCCCATCCTTACCAGCATTTGTTATTTTCAGTCTTGATCATAGCCATTGTAACTGGGTTGAGATGATATCTCATTTTGGTTTTGACTTTCACTGCCCTGATGATTAGTGATGTTGAGCTTTTTTTTATATACCCATTGGCCATTTGTATGTCTTCTTTTGAGAAATGTCTGTTCAGATTTTCTTCCCACTTTTTAATGGTATTATTTGTAGTTTTTTTTTCTGTTGTTTGAGTTCCTTGTGTCCATTGACCTTTTTAAACTGATAATCTCTCTCTCTCTCTCTCTCTCTCTCTTTTTTTTGAGACGGAGTCTCGCTCTGTCGCCCAGGCTGGAGTGCAGTAGCGCGATCTTGGCTCATCGCAACTTCTGCCTCCCAGGTTCAAGAGATTGTCTGGCCTCAGCCTTCCAAATAGATGGGATTACAAAGTTTTTTTGTTTTGCTTTTAAAAAAAATTTATGTATTTAAGTTGTGTAACATGATGTTTCAATGTACTTTTGCTTAGTGAAATGGTTACTATGGTCATTATTCTTCTTCTGTGTAATGCTATTTGATTTGTTTTGGAAAATTATCTCCAGAGATTTTTTTTCTTACCTGCTTTTGGAATGTTATCCTTGGGTAGTGACTTGATTTTTCTCTTAAATTCCATCTTGTTTGTAGGCGGACAGCCAAGTGGACCTGGTCCGGCAGCATTTCTATGAAGTATCCCTGGAATATGTCTTCAAGGTGCAGGAAGTCCAAGAAAGAAAGATGTTTGAGTTTGTGGAGCCCGTAAGTAGATATTCAGGGTTTATTGGTGTCCCCATACATTCATCCCTAATTCTAACTAGTAGTAGATTACAAAATGCTCTAAGTTGTGGATGAACAGTTTGAGCAGCCCTGACGCTGTGCCTTCTATAAGTATCAGTGCTTTGTCAACCTAGCTACCCTGGGTTCTTCCCAGCAGTCATTCCTGTACAATGCACAGCAATGGAGATGGAGCGTCCAGCATTCGTTCCTTCCTCTAGCTACCTGGTGATGTGCCATATGATTTTCAGGTGGACAGAGTGGAAGTGAGAGTCCAGAGGGGAGGAGTTCTTTATCTTGCCATGAAATAGTGATTACACCTTAACTTTCGTCCTCTCTCCTACCCTTCCTCTCTTCCTCAAATAATCCAGACGTAGTAGTCACCCAAAGACATAGTGCCTCTCTCTTCTTCCCTCCTGGTTCAAAGTATTAAAAGATGCTATATGAAGTTTCTCACATGGATTTCTTACATGGATTTGTTGTAAGTAGAGCAGCATAGAGACTCTGCTGAGTGGACCCTGGTATAATTTGGACTTGGACAGTGTCCCGGTGAACGTGAAGATTGCATTGTGGGAAAAAGTCTGACTTTAGTTTTAGCCCACGCCAGGATGGTTGTGGTTTCGTTTGGACACGGTGCCACTCCTCTCTGTTGTATGTGGCACTGGTGTGGAGAATCCACAGCAGGAAGACTCCAGGGAAACACGAAAATAGTATATGGACCTCAATTTAAAACTCTCACAGACCATTGATTTTCCAGCCAAAATGCAGCTTCTGATTTAGACTCAGGCCTGGCATCTCTGTACAAATAAGATTCTCTACCTAGATTTAAGAAAGGATAATTTTCTTTCTTTCTTTCTTTTTGTTTTGAGACAGAGTCTTGCTCTGTCGCCAGGCTGGAGTGTAGTGGTGTGATCTTGGCTCACTGCAGCCTCTGCCTCCCTGAATAAAGCGATTCTCCTGCCTTAGCCTCCTGAGTAGCTGGGACTACAGGCATGTGCCACCATGCCCAGCTAATTTTTGTATTTTTAGTAGAGACGGGGTTTCACTGTGTTGGCCAAGGTGGTCTTGATCTCCTGACCTTGTGATCTGCCTGCCTTGGCCTCCCAGAGTGCTGGGATTACAGGCATGAGCCACCATGCCTGGCCAAGAAAGGATAATTTTCTTAAGCAAATAAGAATAAAACTATAAGGATGTTACTGCTTCTTAAAGTGAAAACTTCCTAAGACACAGACACACTGCAACAGAACACCAGGAAATTGAATGATAAATCTTTAGGGATTTCTTTTCTCAAAAAAGAAGGAAGGAAGAGGGGGAGGAGACACAAAAGAAGGAGGAGGAGGGAAACCCATTTAGATCAGCAAAGCTATCCAGCTGAGCCCAGCCTAAGCTGGCTGAACCTCAGAGATGTGTGAGAAGTAAACATCTATTGTTGTATGAGGTTTTGTGTTCAACAGAAGCCAACAGATATAATACCTGACTCACTAGGTACACCTACGGAGAGATCAAAGTGGATAGCAAAATACTTACCTCAAAAAAGCTGGATGGGTCAGTCAGAAAAAAAAACATCAAAAGCAGGCAAATTTGGAATAATACGAATCAAAGTACACATAAAGATTATTAGAAATGCAGTGTTCTTTTTCTCTAGAAATTCTGGCAAAAGCAAATAAAAATAATGCTAAAGGCAAATTCTGTGTGACAGCATTTGAATTCCTGGACTACCTGATTTTAAATCCCAGCGTAGCCAATTACTAGCTGTGTGTTCTTGAGAAGTTATTTCTCTGAGCCTTACTTTCCTCATATGTAGAATGGGGATAGTAGTATCACCTACTTTGTAAAGATGCTGTGAGGATTAACTGTTATCCATGTGAGATGCTTAGAACAGATCCTGGCTAGAACCCAATAAAAAGCAATTGTTTTTTACTTTATGAGAAAAAGAGTGAAGTGCCGATATTAACAAGGCCAACCTGTTTTAATATAAACAGTTTTGGTAGATGTAAAAGTGTATATTTACTGAGTACCATAGAAAATGCTGAAAATCAAGATGCTGTGACTGAGGGACTCAGCCTCACTGGGGGAAGCAAGATGTGTGTAGTGGAGAGCTAGCCCAGGTAGCGAGCAGTTCAGTGACAGCTTGGACAGGATGGATGCTATCGATGTGCCAGAGGGATATAAGGGTATAGCCATTGCAGTGTGCAGATGTTTTTCGGTTCATACAGTGAGACACCTGGAGAGCTAATGAAAATAAATTTTCAGTATGTTACAAAGAGAAAGTCATAAGGATTTGCCCAAAGTTAAACTAAATGTTGAGAGGCTGGAAATAGGATTCAGATGTTTGGCCTTTACTTTTCTATAGAAGTTCTCGTCTCTGCACACCAGCTTCTAGGATGGTCAGTGGCTTCAGAAGCTGGGGATTGGGAGAAGGTATTCATACAGTGACAAAGCTACTGATGAGATGAGCTATTCTTGGTATTAGACATGCAAATTCTCAGGCTTCACTCTAGACCTGAAATTTAAGGGAGGGGCCCAGTAATCTATAGTTTAGCAAACCTTCCAGGTGATTTAGCTGCACATTTCAGTTTGAGCCACTGGCCTAGATTATACAAAGGAAGAACATGAAATAATAATTGATGATATTAGCTGAAACCACGTCATGTATGGTGCTAAGCACTTTACCTACAGTATGTCAGTCTAACCTTATAACATCTCTGAGGGTAAGTACTGTTTTTATCCCAATTTTCAGATGAAGAAATGGAAACAAGTAAGTTTATTTACCTGTCCAAAGTCATATCTAGTAAATAGCAGAGCCGGAAGAGTCTGACTCTTCATCTCTGTGAAATAGCATTTGATTGCTTACAAGTGGAAAGGAAACCAGTAGGAAGTCTGTTGAACTAAATTGCTGGGGTGGCTATTTATATTTGATGACTTGGTTGTAGTCAAGGGAATCTTCCAGTCAGTCAGGTAAGGGACCTCTATGCAAATTGACTGTGTTCATTTGTTTCTTGGAAGTAAGTTCAAGTACCAGGATATTACTGACCTTCAGAAAAAAGAAACAAACTTGTGATGTTCCAAGGAATTAAAATCAGACTTCTGGGATCTAAACTATATATGTATATATTTGCACTGGAAGCCTTCATTTTCTTGTCACAGTACTAAATGTACTTGAGATTTGGATTGCAGGTAATGACATATTGACTCCATGAAGGTGAAGCCACGTTCCCTCTGTTCCCTGAGTGTCTGTAATTGAAGGTTAGCTAGTGCAGCAGAGAACTCATTCTCCATATTCATTAGGCACTACATCCTCCGAGTTTTACATCCTGAATGTTTCTTGGTACCATGCCTCTTCTTCTCCTTTCCCTCTGTGTCTGTCCCGTTGCAGGTCGTCATTCTTTCCTTTGGACTTTGCATTCTGTCCTGGGCCTCCCCTTCTCCAGTGTGGCCTTGACCAGAGTGCATCTTCTAACACATCAGTGTGATTCTCTCTCTCTCTTTTTTGTCAAGATGCTCCTGACAGCACTCCTGTGCTAAGCCCATTAAGTGGATGATCTGAATTAATCTTCACTGCAATCCTGTGCAATAGTAAAAAACAGTTATCCTCCTGTTAAAGGGAGTTATGTGACATAGCCAGCTCAGCTTTTCATTACTCTGCTGGTTCCGTTTCTCTTTGCTGCCTGTGTGGATGACTCTTGGTAGCTGTATTAGTTTGTTAGGGCTGCTGTAACAAATTACCACAAATTGGGTGTCTTAGAACAATAGAAATCTGCTGTCTTCCAGTTCTAAAGCCTAGAAGTTTGAAGTCAAGGTTTTGGCATGCTTCCTCTGAAAGCTGCAGTGAAAGGTGACATCTTTTTCTCATTCTAGCTTCTGTGGTTTGCGGTCGTGTTTGGCCTTCCTTGGCTTATAGATGCCTCCCTCCAATCCTTCATCCTCATGTGGCCATGCATGTCTCTGTGTCAACATTTTCACCTTTTCTGAGGACACCAGCTATGGCATCCTTTTAAAAGTACTAGGGCCCACCCTAATGTCATTTAGCTTGATTACCCATGTAAAGACACTATTTCCAAGTAAAATCACCTTCAGAGGTATTAGCACTTCAACATATCTTTTTGGGGGGACACAATTCAACCCATTAAAGTAGGTCTGTTCTATGAATGGTGACAACCCAGAATGATGCAGGCAGCATTAACTTGGGCAATTAGATTTTTGCTTTTTAAAATTGAAAGAAATAAATTATAGGTATGTTGTCAGCTAGGAAGTAGGAATAGGTTTTGCTTATGGTTATTCTCTTGGGATAACAAGGATGGAGGAGGCACAGGAAGGCGGGGAATGTCTTTGTCAGGCTGTGATATGGTTGCTCCGTGGACAGCTGACCCCTCTTATTTGATAGGCAGGCGGGACTGCAGCAAGCTCTTCCTCCTTGTGTTTGGGTAGAAGCATTTTTTTGAAGCAGACAGCTCCCTCCTCTCTAGAGTCCACTGGGCTTCATCCTGCCCCTGAGGAGTGGACTTTCACTTCCCACTCTGTATAGTTCAAAGGTTCATGTAGTGTTGGGGTTGGGGAGAGAAAAGGTGCTGTGAGGGAAGAAGCAAGGGGGAAGTGGGCCAGAAATAGCAGTATCTAAGGAGTCATTTCCCATAGAAAAATGGACAATCCAGGCAGGAGACCAAAGGAGGTGAAAAACAATAAATATTAGTAACTCCCTGCCTTTGGGCAGCACTTGTGGCTATGCCCACGTGGCATCTTAGTGAGCTGTTTGAGAATATTTAATTACCCTGAGCAAGAGAGGCTCTGTTTAAGAGAAGGATAAATCGGAGTTAATAGGAGGAATGACCTTGGAATTAACTGCTTATCTTCTGCGTTATTCTCAAGTCGGGGGTGGTGGTGTACCTTGGAAAACCACTGGGGTAGGGCATTCGCAGACAGCAGGGAGGGCAGAGATAAGAAGAGGGAAGATAGTTTTCATTGTGAATGCTGGGACTAGGTTTGGCAGAGGTGCCCCTTCTCCTCCATATTTGGTGCCATCTAGAAGGAAAGGTATGGGTCTTCCTCTCAAAAAAGTATTTTGTATTGAGTGAGCCCAAACCTTTGGCCGTCTTTGAAGAAAAGCATTCATTATCAGTCTCTAGTGGCTCGATGGGGTTTAACACTCATTCACTGATTTATGTTTAGGGTCGATATATGGTGCCAGTAGATAGTTTTATAACCAGAGGACCCAGCAATGCCTGCTCTCCCACCACCCATGGGAATCTAAGGGGATAGACTGGCTGGGGACAATGGCAATGGGAAGTTAAGGGCTATATTGTCATAATCTGGGTTTTATCTTCACAGTGCCCAGCTCTTTGATTAAACTGGACTGGTCTACCTGCTGAGTTTCGGTCGAGGGCTGTATACCTTTGTGCTCACCATTCCTGCTGCAAACAAGGCAGAGTCGGGGGGAGGGTGGGCGGGATGAGATTCCTTTGCCGTCACATATTAGGGCTGCCTCTCAGCAAAGGAGAGTTAGGTGAAGATAAGTGGGATGGGATTATGTTTAACAAGTAAAGGTATGTTCATTTAGGGATTGAAAATTCTAAAGACAATAATGTAAAATAAAGCCAATGTGTCTTGGTATAACATGGTACAGCAGGTCAGGGAGGTCAGAGTGGACCCCTCAGACAATGTGGGTCAGCCTTGAGAAGCTGAAGTGAATGGGGTATCTGGAGCTAAGTTTGTGATAGAGGTGAGGCGCTGGCCTTTCCTAAATCTTGTTCGGGCTTTTTATTATAAACCTTTCTTCAGGTTGAAGTTTGGAACTGAGGGAAGATGTGTAGAACTTTAGAAGGGGCCAGAAGAGCATAACAACGGTGAGGTTTGGATGTAAGCTCTGAGAAGAAGGACCACAGGAACGTTGTTTATGTAGTTTGGAGAAATGAAGGCTGGCAGGGGCTCAGGGTGGGGACATTAATAGTTTTTAAGTATATGAAGGCATGTGGTGAGCATTGTGGTGAACAGATGTTTTCACCATCCACTAAAGACAAGACTAAACAATGAAACGGGCTTACCTTTTAGCCTGAGGGATTTAATTGAGAATTTAGGGAAACCGCCATAAGTGAAGATGTGGGAACATGGAAAGACTTTACTGAAGGAATCCGTAGTGTTTACTTTTGAGTAGTTTGGGGGAAAGCACAGAAACACACTTCAGTTGAAGTGTAATCTGGGTGATTTTCTTTGGTTTGACTTTGTCTGTTAGACTGCAGACTCAGGACACCCTACTTCCTTTTCTCCCTTCCTCTTCTGTGTGATAACCTGATACTACAAATATACTATAAGGAAACTGAGTCAGAACTCTGGTCTTTGGTTTCTGAGGAAATAATATTCTCAGGAGGTGGTGAGGCTCACAGGGCAAGGGCACAGGGGTTGGAGCCAAAGAGACCTGGTTTCAAGTTCTGGCTGCCACTTACTGTGTGTTTTGGGGCAAGCTCTTTGCCTCTCTGAACCTCCTTCCTGATTATTAAAATGGGGATAACAGTAGTGCTTAGGTCATGGGATGTTGTGGGTATTCACTCAGACAGGGCATGGAAGGGCATAGTGCCTGGCACACAAGTGGTGCTCTTTAAGTGTCAGCCATTATTATTCTTTATTTTAGACTTCAAACCAGAGTTGGGAGCTCAGCTACAGCTACATAATACCTCTTTGCAACCTGGTTATGTGACCTTTGCCTTTCTTCCTTCATTACAGCTGTTGGCCTTCCTGCAAGGACTCTTCACTTTCTATCACCATGGTTATGAACTGGCCAAGGATTTCGGCGACTTCAAGACACAGTTAACCATTAGCATACAGAACGTGAGTGGGCATAGGGACAGGCTTCCTTTATCAGGTTAAGGAAAAAACGAAGTATGGGCCTGATTGCCCATAGAAACCATCCATGTGAATTGGAATGTAGGTGAGGATGGGTTTTGCTTGGGTTCAGAGGGAAACTAGGGGTAGGCGTTTCTAGAGTGCTTGGTGGTTCTGAGTTACACCATCATCCTCTTCTTCATTATTTCAAAGCCCTATTTATGTTCTCGGAAGTGCTGCTGCTGATTATGTTTCAAATCTGTAGCATCAGAATCAGGATTTCCTTTGGCAGTGGGAGTCCCAGCCCAGCCCAGACTCCATTCTATGCATCTGGTTGCCTGGCTACATGAGACCATGTGGAGTGTGTGTTCTGGGGATGGGGATGAAGATGGGGGTGGGGAACATATGCTGGCCTCCGGCTCAGAGGATGTGCTGTTGTCCAACTCTTAGGAAAGCTGGCAGGAAATCCAAGTCAGTGTGCTTCACTCACAGTGTGGTCAGCATTCCCAGTTTTAAACACAGGACCTTTTGGTACACAGGATCCTGTGTATGGCTTTTTGGTGAGCAGGTACTGGGGCTCGAGCCCGCTTTTTCACTGTGGGATTGGACCATGTTATTCTTCATATTTTCTTTGTCTCTAGGTGATCTTGTGTCCCTATGGGTTGTACTGCATGGCTTTTAGAAGGCTGGAGCTTACATAGGAGTCTGTGTTGTCTCAGAGAACAGGAAGTTGCAGAATCTTGGAAAAGGTTTCACAAAGCATGGCTTCCCCTTAGGCTGGGTTCCTCAGAATGTAGGCTCTGAAATCGAGGGACATGCAGCGGGCTTTCTGGAGGTGGGGGCAGTGCTGGTGAAAACACCTGTGAGAGAGAGAGGGTACCTCGACTTGCAGAGGGGTAAAGAGAACTGTGATGCAGATGCAGCAGACATCCAGTGCAGGGGTCAGGGGCTCTGGAGCTGGGATGATCCTTCACAGTAGCCCTGAATATGAGCAAGGGGGCCAGGCTTTTAACCCCTTCTGCCTTTCCCCCAGCCTTGACTAGTCACTGGGTGCAGGCCGACCTTGAGTGAGGGAACTCCCTTTTAAGGAAGGACTCATCTGTGAGCCATCAGCAAGTAACATTCACCGCAGCTAGAGAAATGAATGCTTAGGTCTTTAAGTCATACAGGTCCCTAGAGCATCTGAATCAGAATCACCTGGGTTGCTTATTGTAAAACACACTTTTTGATGTCCAGAGGTCCTGAATTGATCTGTAGGAGTGAGGGCTGGGCATTTGCATTTTCTGTAGATCCCTAAGTGATTTTGATGGTCACTAGAATTTGAGAGTCATTCTAGTATAGGACTTTAAGGCCAAAGTATATTTCTTATAAGTGAGTATTTGGCCAGTTCCTAGAGGGTTGAGTGTCCTTTATCTTGTTTTGGATCTAAGGATTCTATTAGGTTGATCTTCTGGATTGTTAAAATAGATTACTTCATTTCTTTGATTTGAATAAAATTCCTTTCATCCTAGACAAGAAATCGCTTTGAAGGCACTAGATCAGAAGTGGAATCACTGATGAAAAAGATGAAGGAGAATCCCCTTGAGCACAAGACCATCAGTCCCTACACCATGGAGGGATATCTCTACGTGCAGGAGAAACGTGAGTGCTTTGACTAGCAACAGCTTGAGATGTACTCAGGCCTCTTACCTAGAAGGTGGAGGGTGTATCCAGCAGTGCCTGCCTTGCTGTAAAGAAATGCTTGGATAAATAAGAACAGTTTTATAGTTCGTCGTTCTAAAGGGAAAGATGATGCCCACAGACTCTTGTCTACCTTTGTTTTTCTTTATGACTGAATTTCCTTGGGAACCTGCAATTTCTTGAGGCTCTGTGGTTGCTTTTCTCTCTCTAGTGTTACTGTACTCTTGAGGATCCTATTCCCTTAGTATAGCTTTATATACCATACCCTGAGCACAGCGGCCTTGGAATGGTCTTCCATGCTAGGCCCCTGTTGTCTATCATGGTGTATCTTTTGGTAGACTTAATACTTGGTGATTCTGTTGTCATTTGACATTGTTTCAGCAAGGCCCAAACAATCATGCCTTAGCCCGTTCTCTCTTCTCAACTCCTTTCATCCTAACACTTGAATTTTATGGAAAGTATAAACAAAGGCTCACTTGAAGAGACAGGAAGAAGGCTGGATATGATGGCTCATGCCTGTAATCCCAACACTTTGGGAGTCCAAGGTGGGGAGATCGCTTGAACTCAGGAGTTGAAGACCAGCCTGGGCAACATGTCTCTAAAAAATACAATAAATACAAAATACAAAATACAAAAATTATCTAGGTGTGATGGTGTGCACCTGTGAGTCCCAGCTACTTGGGAGGCTGAGGCAGGAGGATTACTTACAGGGATGAGCCTGTTGAGGTTTATGAGAGCTTGGGAGGTGGAGGCTGCAGTGAGCTGAGATCACTGCCACTGCACTCCAGCCTGGGTGATAGAGCAAGATTGTGCCTCTGAGAAAAAAACAAAACAAAGCAAAAAACCAAGAAAAGACTCATTATTCTGTTGAAGATGTCTAGGAAAGGAATGTCAGGTGCTGCTAACATGGACATTTTAGTGATGACTCACAAGTTCATGTGTTACGCCTGGGGAAAGGCTTTGTGATGGGGCCGTGTGTTTAGGGTAGCACATCCAGACCTAGGAATTAAAGAAAGTGAATGTCTTTTCTTTAATGGGTAATTCTTCTCCTAGTCGTCTACCCTGCTTTCTTGGTAGAGAACTTTGGTCTTTCCAGATTTTTGCTGGCTTTGTGTTCTTGCACGTCCTTCTCTTGATTGAGAGTTAGGCAGATGAACTCTCAATTCCTAATAGCTTCCTGATGGAATAGAATAGAAATACTTGGTTTCACTAATTATTCTGTTTAGTAATTACTCAAAAATTTGCTTGGACTTAAGTTTACTGGTAACAGTGATGCTGTAGTGGTGTTGGAGGGATGAGCGTGTTGAGGTTTATAAGAAATGTAATTACTTCAGTTGTATGTTTCATATATACCTGAATACAAAGTGACCCCCTTTTTGCCCAGTAAGAAGATCCCTGCAAAATGTTTTAGGTCTACTTGAAAATACACATTTTTAGGACTATAAAAATATTGTTCAGGCCAGGAGTAGTGGTTCATGCCTGTAATCCCAGCACTTTGGGAGGCCGAAGTGGGCGGATCATGAGGTCAAGAGATCAAGACCACCCTGGCCAACATGGTGAAACCCTGTCTCTCCTAAAAATACAAAAATTAGCTGGGCATAGTGGCATGCACCTGTAGTCCCAGCTACTCGGGAGGCTGAGGCAGGAGAATCGCTTGAACCCGGGAGGTGGAGGTTGTAGTGAGCTGAGATCATGCCACTGCACTCCAGCCTGGAGACAGATTCCGTCTCAAAATAAAAATAAAAATATAGTTCAAAGTCTACCTATAATACTTAATTTGTTAATATATCATTGACTTACATATATAAAATCCATGTTGCTTTTTTGCAGTCTCATATTACATCACACACTTTTATTCAGACACTTCACGTGTTCTTTCAACATTAATGTGTTGATTATCATGAGAAGACTTTGTTCCCTAACACAGTCCAGAGCACATGGTGGGGATGCAGCATTTTTTTTTTAAATTTTTTATAACTTGTTATTTTGAAATAATTTCAGAACTACAGAAAAGTTGCAAGAATGGTGTAAGGAACAACCATAAACCCTTTACCCAGTGCACCAATTTTAACATTTAGCTACAGTTATCTCAGTCCTTCTCTCTCTTTGTGGGTGTGGGAGTATGCATGTCATAGACTTGCATAAACACACATACACACTTTTTTCTGAGCCATTTGAGAATATGGTTGCATATACCATGCTTCTTTACTTCAGTAGTGAGTATTTTCTAAGCACAAAATGTATTCTTTTATGTAACCACATCTATTAGGTTGATGCAAGAGTAATTGCGATTTTAGCCATCACTTTAAATAGCAAAACCACAATTACTCTTGCACCAACCTAATAATAAATTTAACATTGCTACAATATTTAATCTGAACTACAGCCCATATTCCAGTTTTACCACTTGTACCAATAATGGCCTTATAAAGCATTTTGTTGTTCTCCAGTACAGAACCTCATCCTGCATTTGGTTGTCATGACTTTTGTCTCTAATCTGGAACATCTCCCCAGCTTTTCTTTGTCTTTCATGACATGGATGTTTTTGAACAACATAGGCCAGTTCCTTTCTACAGTTTTCTTCAGCGTGGGTTTGTCTGGTGTTTCTTCATGATTAGATTAGGATTATGCATCCCTGTTCAAATCCTACATAAGTGTTCTTCTCTGGGGCCACATCTGGACACATGTGGTGTTGATCTGCCCCTCAGTGGTGATATAAATTTTGATCACCCAGTCAAGGTATTGTCTGGTTTCTCCACTATATGGTCGCAATTTCCCCCTTGTAACTAATTAGCAATCTGAAGGTAACACCTTAAGATCATGTAAATACCCTTCTCCTTATCACACTTTACCTCCATACATTTAGCATCCATTAACCATCCTTGCCTGAGCTGACCTTTACTATGATGGTTGCAAAATGGTGACTTCTCAGTTCCACTAAACCCTCCACATTTAACAGTTGCCATTCAGTGTACTTACTTAAGGAAGAGTCATTCCTGCTCCTCTTTTTTCCTCCTACCTCCCTTCCTGCTATCTCCATCCATCCATCCATCCATCCATCCATCCATCCATCCATTACCCATCTTTCCATTGTCTATGGATTTATGGGTTCCTATTTTATTCAAGAGGCTATAATTTATCACTATCCTTATTTATCTTGATGCCCAAATTGTCCAAGATACAGTGCTTTGGAAATCTTTGTGTTGTTTGATTGCTGGAATTTTTTCCCCAATCTGTAAGAATACACTAAGAAGGTTTGTGTTTGCATTTGTCCTTGATGCCCCAGTGGAAATACTTACTGTATTGCTTTTTAAATTTACTAAAGGACATCTAATCCTTGCAATTGGCAGTCATGCCATACCATTAATAATTACTAAATGTTGGCTAATTATGTTTAAAAACATTTTTTAAACAATTTTTGCTATGTGATCTCTATAAGCATCTAAAAGTAGTATTGGTTGAAGTTCTTTGCAGGCTGACTAATGCCTTCTTACTGTAATAGTACTTTGTTGTTTCAAGTAATTGGCTGAGCACTGAGTAAAATCAGACACTTGGTCAGAACACGACTCTGTGGCACCTCACTCGAGGTGACATACTAATCTTGAGGGACATACTCCTTAGAGGTTACATCTGGGTGTTGACAGTCACTTCCACTCTGCATCTCTGGTGTCTCTGAGGTCTCCTTGTCTGCTTTTCAGAGCTTCTTGAGTTCTGCCAAAGTAACTTAGGGGTTTGGAAGTAGGTCAGAACCCCTGATGTCTGTGTATAGAGTCACAGAGCAGCTGTGTGGGAAGCATGATGTCATCGCAACAGATGGGACTGTTCACAGGCTCTTGGAGGAGCCTCTCTGTGTTCTCTCCTTAATCATCTTACTTCTGCCCGGGAAGAGAGTCGAAACTTCAACCGGGGCTTGATGATGGGAACATGGATTAATTTCCCCAGGGAACCTCTACTTTCCTTGTATTTTAAGATCCACTGGTTGTAGTAATAGTGGGAAACAGTCTTCTTTGGTCCCTGGGGGAAATCCCTGGGTTGGTTTCATTTGAACCTGTGAGATCAAATTTCTGTCCATTCTAGCTGGTGTGGAGAATATATTACTCCTAAAACAGTTAAGGGTAAATGAGCATTATGAATTATGGGTTGTGGTTTTTCCAGTTCATGATGTGTAGCATATAGTGGAATGTATAGATGCTTTATGGGAACTATTACCTTGCAGGCCACTTTGGAACTTCTTGGGTGAAGCACTACTGTACATATCAACGGGATTCCAAACAAATCACCATGGTACCATTTGACCAAAAGTCAGGAGGAAAAGGGGTGAGTTCATTTTAAAAATTTTATGCTTGCTTTGCTTGGCTAACATATAATGATTATAATGCATGTAGAAAGTAACAGCTCCAATGTTCCATGTATATTTCATTATAAAATTAAAATTAATAATTTTAAATATTTTAATACAGTAGTTCCAGGAAGCCTAGGAGGCTGAAGAATCACTAAAACAAGATGGTGACTCTTAGCTCTAAGTTATATTAGAAACTACAATTAAGAAATATTTTTGTATTTCACATATATACAATATCAAGCGTGTCAAATGTTTTTATATGCTAAAAATTATTGGATGACCTCATCCTGTGAAACTGATTCAGTTCCATTCCCACTTGATACCTGGAGAGCTGCCAGCAGCAGTGTAGATGTCCCAGTTCCCTATTGCTGTGTAACAGGTCACCCCAAAACCTAGCAACATTTAAAACAACACCAGTCATTTTAGTATTTCTCACCATTTCTGTGGGTCAGGAATTCAGGGAGCATTTGGATGGGTGGTTCAGGGTTGGGGTTTCTTATAAGGTACTAAGCAGATAGTAGCTAGAGCTGGAACAAGGAGGGTCTGGAGCAGCTCAAACTGGTCAGATACAGCTGTCTTCTCCTCTCCCGTCTCCTTTTCATCCCTTTTCCCTCTTTCTCTGCATACTCTCAGGGCCTGGCATCTGGCTTTGCTCTCACTCCGCCTGGGTCAGTGCTATTAGGTGCTGTTGTCATTACTGTTCGGTACTCAGCCATGTTGTGCCCCATGTTCTCTTCTACTTCCAGTTTTTCTTCCTGGCTTTCTTTTACTCTATTAGCAGGTTTGAGCTTTCTCACAGTATGGTGGTCTCAGAGCAGCGAAAGGTTTTAGGAGTGAATGTTCTAAAAACTAAAGTGACACTGCATTGCCTTTTCATGACTTAACCTCAGAAGTCATAGAGCCTTACTTTTTCCTATTTCTTGGTTAATATGGCCACAAAAGCCCTCCCAGTTTCAATGGGGAAAGAGGTAGACCCTGCCTCTCCATGGGAGGGGTATCAAGGTCTCATTGTATGAAGAGCATGTGGCATGGAAGATGTGTGGCTATCTTTGGAAGAGACACTTGGGCACGTGTGGCTCCCCGGTGTCCCTGCTGTTGGGCGACTTCTTGAATGCTCCCAGTTCTTCCTTCCTCCCAGCTGTTGCGTCTCGCCTCCTGCCGGTCCATCTCCTTGGAGTGCTCCCACAGGCCACATGCCTTCTGTGGAGGTAATCTTTTTGCTTTGCTCCTAATACTTTATTTTCTTCCTCTGATATTTTGCATTTCATTATGATAGGCCTAGCTTTGATTTTTTTTCTTTTTTTTTTTTTGAGATGGAGTTTTGCTTTTGTTACCCAGGCTGGAGTGCAATGGCGCGATCTCAGCTCACCACGACTTCCTCCTGCTGGGTTCAGGCAATTCTCCTGCCTCAGCCTCCTGAGTAGCTGGGATTACAGGCATGCGCCACCATGCCCAGCTAATTTTTTGTATTTTTAGTAGAGACGGGGTTTCACCATGTTGAGCAGGATGGTCTCGATCTCTTGACCTTGTGATCCACCCGCCTTGACCTCCCAAAGTGCTGGGATTACAGGCTTGAGCCACCGCACCCAGGCGATTTTTTTTTTCTTTTTTAATCTATTGCTTGGGAGTTTTTGGTTTTCCAGGATTTGAGATTTGGTCTCTTCCAATAACTGGAAAATTCTCACCAGTTATCACTTTGAATTTTGCCTCCTCCTCATTCTGTTATCTCCTTCTGGAGATATTTAAATGGTTTTCATAAAAATATTTACATGGTTCATCTCTGGGTCTCTGGACTATATTCTGAATAATTTCTCTTGCTCTGTCTTAAGCCTAAGTAATTTTTCATTTGTGTCTAATCTGTTGATAAATTAGACCTAGCGTTTCACCTTGGTCCTCTCTGCAGTGCATTTTTATGCAACATGTTGAGTTTGTGTGTGTGTGTGTGTGTGAGTGTGTGTGTGTGTGAGCATTATATGGTGGGGGTTAGGAGCACTGGCTTTGCTCTCACTCTGCCTGGGTCAGTGCTATTAGGTGCTGTTGTCATTACTGTTCGGTACTCAGCCATGTTGTGCCCCATGTTCTCTTCTACTTCCAGTTTTTCTTCCTGGCTTTCTTTTACTTAAGCCACAATAGAGAAGTTTATCAGCATCTCTGTTCCCTCCCTGAATCAAAGCAATAACAAAGCCCTTTTCATGTTTCTTGGCAGGGGCAGGACAGATTTATAAATAATCTCAGGCAAACAGATGTTAAAATGTCATAAGAGAGAAATTACAGTTAGAAGGAATATAAAAAAACCTACGTTGCTAAGTGTCCCCGAGTTTTCATGAAATGAAAGCAGAGTTGGGCCTGCTTTCCTTGGATGGAGCCTTAATCCCTTCCCAACTCTTAGTCCTTCTGGAAATCAACTTCACTGAAGTGTTCTCTCACACTGTCTATTTACGGGCTTTTTATCTTGGGCTTTCTCAGACCTTTAATGAAGAACTCTTTTGTATTTTCTCTATTCCTTTCTTATCACACTTGAAAATGAAGGGTAGAAACCAGTTAGAGTGGATGTTTGGTTCTCCAAAGACTTTGGAGAGAGAATAGAAAGCATGTCATTGGGTAGTTAAGAAGTTTATGTGAATTTGTATATATAAATTTTTTGGAACAAATCCTGACACATTTGACATTTGTGTCAAATTTGTCACAAAATCCTAATATTGACAATGAGTGCAATATTAGAACCTTGATATTATAAGAATTAATTTTCCTAGTAATCCCTTACATTTATATTATGTTTTATATTTTTCTACATCCTTTTATTATTCTATATTATCCTGTTTGATCCAATTTTTCTCCTTTTACAAAGGAGGACATTGAGATTAGGAGAGATAATATGATTTCTAAGTCATTTAACTAACAAGTTACAGAGCTGGTGCTCACACCCTCTTTCCACAGTCTGAATCTCCTGATTCTGAAGTTATTATACTTTCCATGACATCACTGTTTCCTCAGCTTTAGGGTGAAGGAAATATGAGGACTGTCTAGTGGTGATGTCTTCTTGATTGTGCAGAAGAATCATGTGATGTTGTTGTATACATTTTTAAAAAATAGAGACTGGGTCTCACTATGTTGCCCAGGCTGGTCTCAGATTCCTGGTCACCTCGGCCTCCAAAGTACTGGGATTACAGGTGTGATTTACTATGTCTGGCTTGTATACATATTTGAACAAAGCTCACCTAGGAGCTAGAGGTAGATAGAACATAGATAAATAGATAAAATAAATATCTTTTAACCTAGATAATTGGATGTTTTCCTAACATGCTTTGTCTCCACCTGTTATGTCTCCTCACTGTCCCTTTTATTTGGATCATTTTCCTTTCAAAGTACTCACTGAACAGACCTGGCTTCAGGTCTGGACTTGTGAGGAGATTTGCGACATCTTCCTGGAGACCAGAATCCATGTGTGATAAAGAATTTCCCTGTATTCTATGCTCTGAGCTGAGGCACTTCTGCAGGTCTGGAGCAGCCCAAAACTATCCCTTCTTTTGATTCAAACTCTTCTTTATTTTCCTGCTGTTTTCAGGACACAAATAAGAATCCTGCATGGTCTAGCCTCTGCCCCTCCTCAAACCCTTCTTCTTTCCATTTTCCCTACTCTGGGCTTCTAGTCACACTGGCCGCCCTGCTGTTTCTCCAAGCCTCTGTAGACCCTGACCCCAGGGCCTGTCCACCTGCTCCATTCCCTCCTCCTTTCCTCCTTATTTTATCTATGAATTCTTTCAGTTTCAGCTCTAGGAAGCTTTTCCTAACCTTTCCAACCAGGTCAGATCTCCTTAACTTAGGCTTTTGTAGTACAACCTAACTCCTTTTTTAAAAATAGAATTTGTCGTGGTCGTAACTTTTCATTTATTTGTTTAAGGGCTGTCCATGTTCCCCACTTTTTAAAGCAATCAGTCTTTATAGATTTTTGCTTATATGGTATGGTCCTCCTTGGACCAGAATCTTAATCTTCTTCTTTCTGCATGTATTTGATGATCCGTTATATTTCCCTGTTCCCTCCCATTTCTCTGGGACACCTCATGTAAGTTTTCAAAGTGGAAGCTGATCCATAGCCTTTAAATCGAATGTATAGTTAGGCATCAGCAAAGTCAGAATCTCTTACGTTTGGGTGTTTGCACTCAGATATTTTACAGACTAGAGAAAGAGCAGTTCTGTCTGAGAGATTAATCTTTGCTATTCAATGGAAGACAATAGATGTAAGGCCTGTGAATATAAACAGTCTCCTTCTAGGTCTTCTGTGTTTTCTTTGCTATTCTGATATTAGTGGGTGATTAAGTTTTACCTAATGTAGTCACACCTTCTATGATTTCAACAAACTAGGCAAGCTTGCTAATTTCTCCCCTTAGTTTAGATAAAAAAAGATTGACAGAGGCAGAAGAAACAGAAACCCTAACCGATTCCTAAGTGACAGTAAGAAGAAATCAGGGACAGCAATTTCTGTGTTTCTAGGCAATAAACTAGTGCTATGAGATGAAATCGTTGCATCAAATTGGACGATGGAATACTACTCAGCAATAAAAAGAAATAAGCTCTTGATATGCACAACAGCATGGATCAATAGCAAAGCAATTATGTTGAGTGAAAGAAGCCAGACAGAAAGAGCACATACGGTGTAGTTACATTTATATAAAATTATAGAATATGCAAACTATAGGGACAAAGCAGATTCAGCAATTGCTTGGGGATGTATTGGGAGGAGGGATGGATTGCCAGGGGATACAAGGAAGCTTTTGGGGGTGATGGAATTGTTTGCTGTCTTAGTTGTGGTGATGTTTTTATGGGTGTATGTGACATCAAAATCTACAAATTGTACAGTTCAACATGTACAGCTTATACATTAATTATATGTCAGTAAAGTTGTAAAAATGTATCTATTGAGCAGTTATTCTGTTCTAGGATCCAGTTGGGCTCAGGAGACAAGAGTAAGCAAAAACTGAGCCAGTCTCTGTTCTCTGGGGGCTTGTGGTCTAAGACATTAGAGAGACATTATTGTATTTATTGCCTATATCAATGCACAGTTTCAGCTTTGGTCAGTACTATGACAGAGGGAGAGGTATCTGGTGCTATGTGAGCACGTACTGGGGATATTTGTCCTGGTCCAGGAAGGTTTTCTTGAAGAAGTAATGACCGACCCAAGATCATAGAAGCCCAGAGTTGGGAGTAGATCATCTTCTTCTATACTTATCAAATCTGCAAATTAAAACAATGTCGGCACTCATTTATCTACCGTGGACTGATGCAGTGTCATCATGATCCACCTGTACAAAAGATGTTTGGTTCCAGGTCTAGCATGGTGTACAAGTGTAAGCTGCATGAGACATTTTCCTGGAAAGGTTTATAATCAATCACCCTTTCTCCACCTGTGGTCATGAACGCTCAGATCTGAGAAGATGAAACGATTGCTCCTGTTTACATGTCATGTGTGTCCTGGAGAGGAGGAGAGCTCCCCGTTCTAGCCTCATATTGATAGTCTGTGTTCCCACTAGGGAGAAGATGAATCAGTTACCCTCAAATCCTGCACACGACGGAAAACAGACTCCATTGAGAAGAGGTTTTGCTTTGATGTGGAAGCAGTAGACAGGTGAGTAGCTGGCATGCTTTTCTCAGGAACAAATAGAGCTGATGTTACATTTCTTTTTCTTTTCAGTCAAAGCTTTTCTGCTTTTTTTCCCTTCTCCCCCTCCCTCCTTTCCTTCTCCATCCCTTCATCTATGTCCAGGGTGCTGGATCCAGCACCGTGGATTGCTCATTTGCAAGAATCATTAGAGTCTCCCAGTCTGTTGCATTCAGCACTGCATCACGGGCTTGGTTTTGTTTTACTTTAATGTTAATGCTTTCATGCTCAGAAATGTGTGTTAGGTCTCCAGGAGGTTGAGCAGACATTTAAAGAAAACTATTTAGCATGATTGTATCAGCTATCTGAATTTTTTTTTTTTTTAACTTAAAAAGTTAGTGTAATGATTCGAAAGGAATTGGAATGGAAGACATTTTTCTCAAATAAAAAAACAGCTTTTAGTTACATTTCACCTACCGATGTGTGTGCATGCCCAGGAAAGACACCAAACCACATGCAAAATCACAATTTTTTGGAGACAGAGCCGTGTGTTGTATTCCTCAAGATTTATAGAGTTTCTCATTAAGTTGTACCATTTCGTGGTGTTAAGCTCGTTTGACAACATTCCAATTTTTTGAGACACTTTACTTGGCAACAGGTTAATTCTTTCAATGAAACCCACGTGTTAAGCTTATTTGAGTTGCCTGTTGAAGATCAGTAATGCTAGCACCAAGATCCTTAAATTTCAGCATGATACACTCCATATAATGCTGTTTAATCTCTCCCCTGTATTTAAAAAATGCTATACCATTTTGTCAAGCCAGTACTTACCCCTTCCTGGGAAGGTCATCTGTGGCCACCTTGCCCTGGCTCTATGGCATCCTGAGACTGAGTACTGCCTGGGGTGTGCTCCTTGTGGGCTGGCAGGTGTGCAGGCAGGTGTGCACTGCCTTCTTGTGGCAGGTGTCTGCTCCACACTGGAGGCTGTTAGGGCTCCCGTGGAGAAAGCATGCTCTCTTAGCCTGTATCAGAAGTTCATGGAAAATAATTGTAATTTAGTTATTAAACCTTTGGCTTTCAATCCGGACAACCAGGGTTCAAATTTTCACTTTGCTGCTGAGTAGCCATGTGACTTTGAGCAAGTTACTTAATCTTTCAGAACCTTGATCTTCTCATCTGGAAAATTAAGTTCCCGGGATGGTTATAAGGATTCAAGGAAATAATGCATGTAAAATACTTGGCAGAGCAGCAGATAATAAGTGCTCAACAAGTATTAGCTGTTATTCTTTTTTGCTAACTAGTTTGTCTTGCATGCTTATCAGACTTGAGATTTCACTTCTAAACCCAGAGAAGTACATATAATCTGTAAAGAAAAGAAAGTGTCCTGACCCTTTACTGTGTCTAGAGGTGTGAGAGGGGAAGGTAAAGAAGAATAGCATGGGTGCGGGGTTGGTTGTAGGTTGAATTGGGGTAGCAAAGGGGAACTGCAAACAGTTCCCCACACCAAATTTGGTTATTATTGGTTTTAAACAAATCCTAAACCTTGGTGCTTTAAGCATCTCTCTTTTTTCTAAGCATGGGATTTAAGGGAATTCATATTACTGGCATCCTTGAAGGAGGTTCAGCAGATCTGTTTGCATGGAAGTGCAGCCAGCTGTGATGCCCATCAAATGTACACTCCTAGAGATAACTGTCTGCTGCAGAGCTGCTTCCAAGAGGGTGTGCCTTATGTTGCGGCTCTCTGTCAGATTTAAAACAAGCCCACACTTACTTTCTGAACCTGAATTATTTTTGTGTTTTCTTCTTCAGAAGTTTCCCAAGAAGTTGTGGAGAGTGGCTTTTTAGGTGATCAAAGCTCACTGTGGCACCTCCATCTCATATCTACCCTTGCCAACACTTCTAGCACCTTCCTTCCTCTATGACTCCCACAACAGCTGTGCCTGTCCCAGTCATAAGCCAAGAGTGGATGTGTCACATTCAGCATATGGAGTGGGCTTGTAAGTCCATTGCTCCTGAGTTTCTGTCCCTGGTTCCCTCTGCATGGCATGAAGGAGTTTTGGTCATGATTCAGATGAGGCTGCTGAATCTCCTTTTTTTTTTCTTTTTTTGAGACTGAGTTTCGCTGTGTTGCCCAGCAGGCTGGAGTGCACTGGCAACATCTCAGCTCACTGCAGCCTCCACCTCCTGGGTTCAAGTGATTCTCCAGCCTCAGCCTCCAGTAGCTGGGACTACAGGCATGTGCCTCCTGGCTAATTTTTTGTATTTTTAGTAGAGATGGGATTTCACCATGTTGGCCAGGCTGGTCTTGAACTCCTGAACTCAAGTGATCCGCCCACCATGGCCTCCCAGAGTGCTGGGATTACAGGCATGAGCCACCGTGCCTGGCCTGAATCTCTTCAGGAGGTGAGTAGACTGTTCTAGGAAACACCTCCTGTCAGTTTTCTATATAGGTCGCAAAGATTAGGTCACAACAGTACAGCAGGATTTTCATCCTTTCTCCTTTTTTGACCCCAGTGTCTTTCCTTTTTTTCCCCTCAATGTGTAGAAGGGGGCCTAGCTAGAGAAGGAAAAGGCATTTCCATGCTCTGGGTAGCTGCATCCCTGGGAAAGGATTCTGCTCAGAATCCTTTTCTCTTGAAGACTCCTATACTTCCCTTTTTCACCAGTGTCCTTTAGCGAGGAAGTGATTACTGCTGGATGCCCTGCTGTCCTGCCTTCCACAGGTTCCCCAGCTCCACCTGCTGGACTAGAGAGGCAGAGGGTCAAAATGCAAGTTTAGCACCTAGTAAATGTGGGAGTGAAAGAGGGGATGGTTATATTTAACCACATAAGGGTTCGAGGTACTCCCAGAGTATGTTAACTGGAGAATACATAAACTAGTCACTAGTAGTGACTAGTAATATTTTATTCTATCAAGATACAAATACATGTTAAAGTGTGAATTATGGGACTTACAATATGGGATGTTGCAGATTTTTAAGACTGAATATATTTATCCTTTATACTTAATGCTGACATATCATGTTGTTTTGTATCAAAAGATTTAGCCTTTATGGCATGATAGCCTAGGAGGTCAATATTGTGAGTTGATTACCCTACATCAACATATCTTACTGTGGCAAAAACCACGTGCAATCAGTTAACAGGTTCCTGGTGCCTGCCCCAGACCCACACAGTTCGACTTTCTGGGATTCAGACAGTGGAATCCACATTTTCAAGCTTTTTAGTTGTCCTTGATTCTTACTAATACTTTGTATGTTAAATACAGTGTGTTTCACATTACAGTTTCATCAGAGCACATGAAAACATTTTCCTAATTGGAAAAATCACGACAAGCAGCTGTAGCAAAACAAAACAAACAAACAAAAACTTCAAGCTTTTTTACTAAGGAGCTGAGTGCTTACCTGTGTGGAGGAGGAGAAGGTCACTACTAGGAAAGGTAATTTCTAGTCTCTGAGGTAGATTATTTGACCAGACAAAAGACAAAAACCACCACCACATAAAACTCCTGTCTTTTTAAAGGATGTGGAAATGGAGGAGGAGTGAGGCAACTAGTAGTATCAGAGCATTTCCTGTAGGCTGAACACTTTCTTTCTTTTTTGAGACGGAGTTTCGCTCTTGTTATCCAGGCTGGAGTGCAATGGTGCGATCTCGGCTCACCGTAACCTCCATCTCCTGGATCCAGGCAATTCTCCTGCCTCAGCCTCCCGAGTATCTGGGATTACAGGCATGCGCCACTGTGCCCAGCTAATTTTTTTGTATTTTTAGTAGAGACGGGGTTTCACCATGTTGACCAGGATGGTCTTGATCTCTTGACTTCGTGATCCACCCACCTCGGCCTCCCAAAGTGCTGGGATTACAGGTGTGAGCCACCATGCCCGGCCTGGCTGAACACTTTCATCCTTATTTTATGTCATCCTCACTATAACCCAGGGAGGTGGGTCCTCTGTTATTCCCATGCTGCTGAGGAATCTACAGTTTAGAGGGGTGAGGTTGAGGTAGGGTTTGAACTGAGGTTCACAGGAGCCTGTTCCAAGGCATATTGATGCCTCAAAACTTGGGATACTTTGTTGCTGTTAAGATTGAGTCTCGCTCCGTTGCCCAGGCTGGAAGGCAATGGCGCGATCTTGGCTCACTGCAACCTCCGCCTCCTGGGTTCAAGTGATTCTCCTGCCTCAGCCTCCTGAGTAACTGGGATTACAGGCGCCCACTGCCATGCCCAGCTAATTTTGTATTTTTAGTAGAGATGGGGTTTCGCCATGTTGGCCAGGCTGGTCTTGAACTACTGAGCTCAGGTGATCCACCTGCCTTGGTTTCCCAAAGTGCTGGGATTGCAGGCATGAACCACCATACCTGGCCAAAACTTTGGATATTTTAGAAACATTTTCCAGTAATGAGCTCAGATCTGTTGGTGGTTGCATTTCAGAGACACCACAGTGTCCAGTTTTCAGGCTGTGAAATCTGGGAAGTGCTATTCTCACCCTATCAGTTGCATTCGGCACTATAAACAAATGGTACAATGAACTGAAGCGGCAAACTCACCTCTCTTCTTACATTTACTCCTCTGTGACCTTCAGAAAGTCCTCATGTGACTAAATTAAAAGAGGCACAGGTAGAGCATAGTGACAGGCACATGGCACTCAGTAGGTGTTCTATGAATGGTTTTTTGGTTTCTGTACACCTCTTCTTCCACCTTTTATTTATTTGTTTAGAGGTGGGGCCTTCTCATGTTCCCAGGCTGGAGTTGAACTCCTGGGCTCAAGCGATCTTCCCACCTCAGCTCCTGAGTAGTTAGGAAGATAGGTGCACCACTGCCACTGTACCCAGCTCCACCTTTTATTTTTAAGGTGACATGCTTTCCTTTTTCTTTTTTTAAAATCCAGGATGACTAGCACGAATAGGAGATATTCTAGCAGTAGAATAGGAGATATCCTAGCAGTAGTATCACTTATCAGCTAATTGTTTTCATTGTATCCCAATACATTGCTGTCAGTTTGTTAATCCTCAAATCCCTGACACATAGGTCC